ATTCCATGGGAAATGCACATAGCAAAAGCTTGGAACGAGAACGAGCTTACATGGCGTATGTGTAATTTTCAGTTTTCTTGTTGGATGTTTGCATCTTCTCTCATTTACTGTTCTTATTTCTCTTCATCAATTCTTACTCGTTCTATTTCAATTCCAATTCGAATTTCTTTGCCTAGGCATACAAGTGTACGCCTGCATGTGTCTCTGTGTGTATGTGAGCATGGGGGTTGTTGGGCACAGCCCACCCTTGAATTGAAGGGCAGATACACACAGCAGCCGTAGCAACCGATAGTGCTTACTGTGTACTTTGTATTGGACACCACTGTTTACAGCTGAGTACAAGTCTCTGATTGGTGAGGTGGGGGTGTCTCGAAAAAGCTAAACAGAAAAACTGGAAACGAGTACAGTTCCAATTGGAATTTGCTGTTTTGTTTTACTTTAACACGGGCATGCGTTAGCCATTTGCCTTTGTTTTTCGGCTCTGTATATTAGTGTGCGCCGTCGCTGTTGCCGCAGCCGCGTCCGCCGCATGCGTAACTTAGCTTTGTTGTTGTTATTCGTATATTTCATTTTATTTTTCTGTCATCACTTTATCGCCTTATTGTTATTGTAGACGTTAAGTACACACACACACGTACAAATGACTCAAGTGAGAGCGAACGAGAGAAAGAGTGCTACAACAGCGAGAGAGCAGGCAAAACAATAGCTATCGATTATTTATAATGTGCGCGTGTGTACGTGAGTATATGTGAATGGTGAGCGCGCTGACGCAGTGGGAGATATGCACACACAGACATATGTATACACGTACAGATACATATGCATGCATTAAGAATAGATTCTAGGCGGCGGGCGCATGCACTAACAATCACAAACAGTTACGCGCAACTCGCTGAAAGCAGCGACAATAAGAATACATAAAGAATATGGTAAAATAGTGAAATAAAAATAAACAATAGCAAGAGCGAGCTAGCCGCCTTACTCTTTTGTCATTGCAATATAAATAGCCTACACGATAATAGAAAAGAATAAAAAATGTGGCCAAAGCGCAGGCGTCAAGTGTGACCCTCGCACGAATGTACATATGTATGTATTTTTCTATGTTGTTTTTTGCGAATTTTGCCTGGCTATTTGCCACATGTAGCATGCACTTTGTTTTTTTTTTTTTTTTTTTTTTTTTGTTCAACATTAGAAAATAGTTGAAATTATAATTGACGAAAATGTATTTGCTATATATTTAAAATGTGCGCTGGCGCATTTGGAGCGTTTATCTTTACGCAATGCTGGTCACACTCACACAATTAACTGCGTGTGTATGTGCGCGTGGCTTTAACTGCTGCTGCATTAAACGTTGTAGCATGCTTCTCAGCGCATTTAACCAAACTTTGCGCAGTTTTTACACACACACACAAACATATTAATGAACGAAAAACTTAAAGCGAACGGAACATTGCGCACGCACCACTCAACAACAAAAAACTCGAACGAAAGACAGTGGCAGCAATAAAAATGCGCACACATAGATAGAAAAACATAAAATATTTTTCTCAGTCAAATCAAGTTGTTTTGTTTTTATGCACTTATTTACGATACAACCAATTTTTTTTTATATCTAAAACCAAAAATTCATAGTTACCAAATCTGAAATGTTGGAATGTAATACTTTGATATAGGGTAGGTCTCCGATCTGCTAAATTTATTAAATTAAATTTTGTATTTGGTATTCAGGAAAAATTGTTTTTACTATTCGAAATCTGAAAAAAAAAACTATTCACATTAAAGTTAAACATTTTTCTAATATATCGTCATGCTAATCTATAGGTAACACATTTTTTATGCCCAGCACTGTTGCGTTAGGCCAACTGTCTGCCTGGCACGCGCAAGTGAAACGAGCTTACCGCATCAACCCCGCATACCCCAGTAGCTGTTGTTGTTTTTGTTATTATCAGCAATGTGACAGGGGGGCTATAACAAGGGTAGTGGTGATGGTGTTGGTGGTGGGTGGTGCAAGCAGTGCATGCGTAACCCGTAGCCATATGGCCATAATGTGTAGTATAACAGCGTCAGCGTCGATAGCAGCGTAAAACTTCACGATTATTGCCCAAGCGCAATGCGTTTGCGTGCGCTGTTGTTGTTGTTTTTTTTAGCTGCTGCTGTTGAGGACAGTGCTTGCATGGGGGATGTTTTTGATTCGCTTTTGGGGGTAGCTGCGCAGCCCTTTTTTGCCAACGTCTCACATGCAAACACATGTACATACATACATGCATATACACACACCGAACCGACAACACAGATAACGTCTGATTCACATGCACACATATTTGAATATATAGCTGTCTCTGTTCAATCGTCTAAAATATGTTAGCGGGTGGATGGGTGTTAGGCTGGGTACGCATGCAAGTGACAGCTTTTGACCTGTCAACAGCAGCTTTTGGAAAGCTTTTGAATGCTCACATCTGACACAAACACAAAAAACATATACATAGTAAATGCAAAAAAAAAAAACAGAACAGAGCGAACAGAACATGGCACAGAGACACACATATACATAGGCAGAGCTTACTGTATGGTCATCTCTGTCGCACGCTCTGTTTGGCTGTTGGTTGCCGTCTCACGCGTCGCAAAGCGACAAAGTCGACGCATGGGCGCAGTATTGATTTTTAACTGCGTCGACGCCGCCGTCTGCGTCGTCGCTGCCCTCATCGCCGTCGCAGTCGCCGAAAATGTAAATGCATGCACACGGCGTCAATCCGTGGGGTGGTTTGGCGCAGTGTGGTCGCTCACTGCTCGCTGCTCGTCTCTCTCTAGCTGTTTGCTTCGCTCTTCTTCCACTATATTGTCAGTGTGCGCCGCGTCGTCGCCGTCGCCCTCAACGTCGTCTGAGCAAACGCAAATAGAACTTCAACTGGGCAGGCGGAAAAGGCAGCGCAGCGCAGAGCAACCGCATAGCAGTTTCAGCAGCAGAGACAGCGCCAACGCCAGCGCCAGCGGCAGTAGCAACGCCAACCCAAAGATATACAACTGCCAACAATAACAATAAACTTCAACTCGAACTGTAACTGTAATCATATTCTGTTTACCCGTTGTGCGGTGCGTTTACAATTTGTACTCTATTTCGGCTTCGAATTCAATTTCGGTTTTAATTCTATTCGAAAACTTGAACAAAACCAATACAGCAAACCAGCCAATTGTTTTTATTCATATTTTTTTACTGTTCCAAAATTTTGTGTGTGTCTGTGTTTATATGTGTGGTGTAGTGCGTGAAAATCGAAAATCAGCAAAAGGCAAGCATTATACAATTTAAATATATTTTATATACATTTTTGTTATACAAAAACCAAAAATTGCAAACTTTGTAAAAAAAAAAAAAACCATAGCAAAAAAACTCAACGCGCACGTGCAGCGGCCGCTAACATATTGAAACTATATACTGTGTGTATGTATGTATGTATATACATATATGAGTGATTTTTGCATATACATATGTTGTTACATATATATATTAACTGTATTTTAGTAGTCGAACCTGCTGAGTCTGCGCGTTGTTGACTCCATTTATAAAAGTTATAAAGAACAAAATGAAAAAAGCTGAGCTGGAAAGAGAGAGAGAGAGGGAAGAAGGATATGAAAATATGCATTTGGCAAACCATTTTGTTTAGAGTTCGATATATTTACCCATATGTTACTCCAATTGGAATACCAGCTAGAACTGGAAACTTATAAGAAAAGACGGACAACTCAGCTTAGGGGTTGTCTAGCGAGTAGAGCTTATCAATTAACTAGATTTTTGCTGTCTTTTGTTGTTGATGTCTTTGGTAAAAGTTCGGGGCATCCCTTGGCTTGTTTTTTAATTACATATCTGTATACAAAAATATATATTTCGATTTCGCTCTCTTATCTCTTATCAACCTTCATCAACAAAAAATATTTAAATTTTTCAAGCATTTCAGAAAAGTTTTTATAATTATTATTATAAGTACATAGTTCGTTATTAGAGCTTTCGCTGAGAGAGAACTAAATAAAATAAATTTATTTAAGAATGTTATATTTTATTTTTTAGTTTGTCTACACGAATATCCATATTTGAATGCGTTCCATTCCATTTCATTCCTTGTTCAGTTTTGTGCTTATTCATATGTATATAGCGCACATAGGTTTTTTTTTGACATTTTTTTGTTCTCAAATGTTGCGCATGCGCGCTTTTGACCTGAATCACTCATTGCTTATCAGTTAATTGTTTTGTATTTTTGTTTTCAATTTTGTCGTCCAGTTCCGCTGTGCGTCGCACACCACTTGCCATGCGCATAGAAACAATGTCAAAATTTGCATAGCTAAAAAGGGCATTTATCAGTTGATTTCATTTGTCAAATGAATTTCTTTAACCTATCTATATATTGAAATTCGTTATAATAAAATGCACTTTTTAGGTTTTGAATACCGCCTTGATGAAGGTTTACCCTTGTTTAGGTCTATGGCTATAGAGTAGAACAGCTTCGCTTTGCTAGCTCTAAAATTGTTGATTAGTTTCTATCGAGCTGTCGCATCCTCACATGGCTTATATATACATAAATTTAGCTATATAATGTAGATATATATAGATCAATATTTTTATTTGTATATATTCCAAGCACCGATTTGCTATCTTAATCCGAACTCTATAACACGAGGCTAAGCTGTAGTATATAAGTGTACTCCCTTCTCTTCCTCTCTATATATAGAGAGCAATATTCCTCTCGCTGCCCAGGCGGGCATTGCTCAAAACTAATAGACTCTTCTCACTCGGTAAACGAGTAACCCAGTCGAAGATATGAACGCAGAAATGTTTTCCTCAATAAAAAGGAACTGTCTCTGACTTATCCAATATTAACTTCCTCTTTCTTCGCTTGCTTCAGCCACAGAAGACAACGAAAGACCGGAAAAGAAAACACACTGCGCATGCGAGTAGGGAGACGTAGATTGAGAGCCGAGAACGCATTGATAGAGGGAAGCAGCTGTAGCAGCACCAGGAGAACCAGCAACCACCAGCACCACGTGCCACAGCCACCAAGCTGGCAACCACAAGCTATCGGCTGGTTGTGGCGCCGGCTGGCAGCCAAAGGAGTGCGGGCAATGTGGTCGTCAGCAGCGTCAGCGGTGGCGCCACCGTCACGGGCAACACAATTGTTACCACTGGCAATGGCAGCAATAGCTCCGGCAGCGGCGGCCTGAATGTGACCACAATCACAACCACCAGCAATAGCTCGCAGGCCCAGTCGTCGTCCGGCGGCCAGAGCAATGGCACCACCTACAAAATCGAGATGCTCGACGATGATATGCAGAGTCTGCCGACAGATGACGAGGACGATGATTTGATTAGCAGCGAGGGCAGCTTATATGATGGCGATCTCAATACATTGGGCAACGACGATGTGGCGCTTCAGCTGGCGGCTGCTGGTCCGGTGGGCGTGGCGGCGGCCGCCGCCATTGCCAGCTCAAAGAAGCGCAAGCGTCCGCACTGCTTCGAAACGAATCCATCGGTGCGCAAGCGCCAACAGAATCGTCTGCTGCGCAAGCTGCGCGGCATCATCTACGAGTTCACGGGCCGCGTGGGCAAGCAGGCGGTGGTGCTGGTGGCGACGCCGGGCAAGCCGAACACCAGCTACAAGGTGTTCGGAGCCAAGCCGCTGGAGGATGTGCTGCGCAATCTGAAGAACATTGTGATGGATGAGCTGGATAATGCGTTGGCCCAGCAGGCGCCGCCGCCGCCGCAAGAGGATCCGTCGCTGTTCGAGCTGCCCGGCTTGGTAATCGACGGCATACCGACGCCCGTGGAGAAGATGACGCAGGCGCAGCTGCGCGCATTCATACCGCTCATGCTCAAGTATTCGACGGGACGTGGCAAGCCGGGCTGGGGCAGAGAGTCGACACGGCCGCCGTGGTGGCCCAAGGAGCTGCCTTGGGCGAATGTGCGCATGGATGCCCGCTCGGAGGATGACAAGCAGAAGGTGGGTGGGGTGGGTGTTCAACAGCCGCCCCAAAATGCTGAATTGTGTCTTATTAATCGCCCTCCCTCCCCATTATCTAAATGACCACAGATCAGCTGGACCCATGCGCTGCGCAAGATTGTGATCAATTGCTATAAATATCATGGACGCGAGGATCTGCTGCCGACATTCGCCGATGACGAGGACAAGGTGAACGCGCTCATCTCGCAGTCCGGCGACGAGGACGAGGACATGGAGCAGCTATCCAATACGCCCACCATACAAACGGTGCAAACGGTGACGCCGGCCACCAACCAAACCACCAGCCAAGTGAGTACCCACAAATCTCTCCAATTGCTCTCTGCCTCTCTATCAAAAGAGAGAGAGAGATGAGAGATGAGAGATGAGAGATGAGAATAACAAATAATATAACTCGGTATTCCATTGCATTTATGCCCAACCATTTCGCGTTCCTAACTAATACACACATGCTCACACACACACACTTCATTCAATCACACAACTAACCACAACAACAACAACAACCACGACGATGACGACGACAACAGCAACTGCAGCCACAGCAGGTGAACGTGGTGAAGATCAACAGCGCTGGCACAGTGATCACAACGCACACAGCCCAATCGAATACGCCAGCTCCAACGATCATACAAAGCACGAACAATCAGCATGTGACCACAACAGCCACATTGCCAGCATCGACTAAGATCGAGATATGCCAGGCGCCAGCGCCACAGCAGCAGCAACAGCAACATCATCATCATCAGCAGCAGCAGCAGCAACAGCATCACCACCAGCAGCAACAACAGCAGCAGCAGCAGCACCAGCATCACCAACAGCAGCAGCAACATATACACACAACCAGCAACAACAATACGACCACAGTGCACATCCAAGCCGTCAGCCAGGCACAGCCACAAACAATTCAGTTAACAACGGCGAGCGGCACGGCCACGGCGACGGCTGTGCCGACAACGGCGGCCGCTGTAAGTGCATCCCAAGCGGCGGCAGCGGCACAGGCGGCTGCCGCAGCTGCACAGCAGCAGCAACAGCAGCAGCAGCAGCAGCAATCGAATGCAGCTCAGACCGTAACCGCCCAACAGATAGCCAATGCCCAAGTTTGCATCGAGCCCATAACGCTGAGCGACGTTGATGTTCGTACTAATCTCTCTGAACTTGTAACTAAACTAGATTCAATCTTCAATCTTCAAACCCTAATCCAGCCGCTTGAATTTGGGCATTATGCACGACGATTCGATCGAAGCCGAGCCGATCGAAAATTCAATAATCTCTTTACGTTATCATTTACCTGTATCCAAAGGAGAAATTCTGAAGAACTAGATGCTATAATGAGACTGATCTTGTTAAGAATTTAGGGCAAATTGAAAATTCATAAATTAAGAAATTGTACGAAAATCCAATAGGAAAAAAGTAGAAAATCCGCTAAGACTTTTGGCTAGATTAGCGCGCAGGAAAATTCCAATAGGGAATCAATGATTAAATTTATATTTGAAATATAATTTATATATATTTAGAAAAGTTACAGAACTTCAATTAAAATTCAATTATTTCAATTAAAATTAAGATTAAAATTTAATGAGTTAAAACTTATAAAAAAAAAAGATTTTAAGCCACTTTCCAAGCATAATTCCACAATTTTGTGTAGCAAGTCAAGTATCTTCAGCTCTCTTAATTATTTTATCAACCAAAATCTAGAAATGTCCTGCATAATGCTCAAGCTCTGCAAATTTATATTTATATATATTTTTTTTGAATTGTTATAAATTTGTTTTCAATTTGAATATTGTTATTGATTTGTTTGACTATATTAAATGTGAGCATATATGTTTAACTCAATGGTTTGATTAATTGTTTAACAAAAGCTTAATTATTATTTTTTTGTATTACTTTTTATGCAATATTTTTCCTTTTTGTTGTTTTCTCATTTGCAGCTGAATTTTATTTTGATTTTTCATGTCATGCGCCCAAGCTACAAACATCCACACACACACAACATGTAAATACACCACACAACAGCAGCTCGAGACACACACAACACGAAACACAAAAAAAAAATATTATTAATAATAATTTGCATACATCATTAATTTTTATCGCATTGCATTGAATTTTTGTTATGAATTTTTCTTGTGTTTTCTAATTTCCATTATATTTGTTTGTCCTATTTTGTTTTTGCTGGTTGCTGCCTTAGCATAATACCGTTTATTAACATGCTCTTAACATTCTACTTAACAGTACACGACACAGACTGTTCTGTCGCAGAACGCCGATGGCACCGTCTCTCTCATACAGGTGGACCCCAACAATCCGATCATAACGCTGCCCGATGGCACAACAGCTCAGGTTCAAGGCGTGGCAACGGTAAGTCCAGGTCATGATTCTGTTAGATAACATTGCTCATCGTTCTGCTGTTAACTAACATTGCAGCTGCATCAAGGCGAAGGCGGCGCCACCATACAAACGGTACAAAGTCTCGCCGATGTGAATGGTCATGATAATATGACCGTCGATCTGACCGAGGCGCAGGATGGTCAAATCTTTATTACCACCGAGGATGGGCAGGGTAAGTGCCAATGGAATTGCTGAGTGTTGGCAAGCATTGACTTCATTTTGTAATCCATTCGCAGGCTATCCGGTGTCAGTGAGCAACGTTATATCGGTGCCCGTCTCCATGTATCAGTCGGTGATGGCCAACATGCAGCAGCTGCAGACGAATAGCGATGGCACCGTGTGCCTGGCCCCCATGCAGGTAGATAACAGCAACACATCAAACAGCAACACCAACAACAACAACAATAACGGTAGCGGCAGCGCATCAACTGCTGCTGCGCCTACATCGCTGCTAGGCATCTCAGTGATCAACGCGGGCGCCATGCTAGGCCGTCGTCTCGCTGGCAGCGGCGCTGGCGTCGCAGCGGCAACGACAACGTCAAGTACCGGACAGCAGCCGGCGCTGACATTGCAAGCGCCGCCTGGCACTCGCTTCTATTGGGCCGCTAGTCCAGGCAGCGGCAGCGCCGGCAGCAGCAATTTGAATGCTGCCGCTAGCTTAAATCTCAGCAATAACAATAACAATAGCATGCTTACTAACAATAACAACAGTAGCGGCAGTAGCAGTAGCAATAGCAATAATAACATTAAAATGACGTTGCCCATAGTGCTGACGGCGCCAGCGACGTCGACTGCGCAGCGGCGTCAAGTACAAAACGCGTCACGACGCACAGCAGCGCAAAAACGACGCAAGCTGAACAACAGCGGTGGCGGCAGCAGCAGCAGCAGCAACAACAACAACAACAATAACAACACCAGTAAACTAACTTTGCGCAAAAGCAAAACGAGCGATATAACGGTTCCTGGTGCTGCTGCTGCTGCTGCCGCTGAGGCGTCGACCATACGCTGTGTGGACAGCGCCAGTCTGACAAATGCAAGCGGCGGCGCAGCACTACAGGTGCAGCTGCCGCTGCCGGCTAAGACCATTAAATTAGAGCATTTGGAGTAGTAGACTTTAAGCAGCCATATGCACATACTTGCCACGCCCACGCCAACATTCGCCTACTTCCATCAATTTTTATGCTAGTTACCATTGCACGTATCAAATCTAGTCAAACGGCGCTGCGTGCACACACACACACACACAAATACAAACACAACACTTGCCATTTTTACTTACATTTTAACTAATGCACACACACACACACACACACTGCTGTATATACAATACACACACACACATACACTTACATACATATATACAAATGCAAAGAATTGTGAATGCCGACAAATACCAAAAACAAAATCGAACCAACAAACACATGAAAAGTGCGATAAATTTGCCTTAGTAATCGATACATAGCATAATCGATAAGTAAACATAGTTAATCAACCGTCGCTAAACAAGCACCACCCCCCCCCCCCCTAAAATTGAATTTAAATTGAGCCAAAAATTTGTTTTTAATTGAAGCACTGAAACCAAAAAGTTAAAAAAAAAATCGCGAATAAGTTTAAATTGAATTGCCAAGTTCCTAAAACACAGAATAATAATTGAAAAAAAAATTAATTAATATTCTTCTCTTTTTTAAATGTAATCGAAACACAAGCCAAATATTAACGTATTTAGTTAACACAATTGATTTAAATAATTTGATTTTGTTTTACTTTTTAAGTTCTTAGTTTTTGTTCTTTTTTTTGTGCAATCTATTGAAAATATGCAAATATTTGATTAGTGTTTTTTTAAATTTAATTTAAGTAGTTGGATTTAGCAAACAGGGAATTTGAATGCTATTATGTTAATACTATTACTGTGAACTAATCAAAATTGAAAAACAAACCAAAAAAAATATATATTTAGTCATATATTGTTGAAATCGTCCAACGTAGCCAATTTTGCATTCAAAATGTAGCAAATAATCAAAAAAAAAAGAAGAAAAGAAAATTTAAATTAAAGTTTTAAAAAATATTGAAATATATATATATATATATATATATAGATTATTGTGAATATAATTAATAATATGAGTCATGTGGCCAAAAATTTTTATGTGCATACATTAATTTTATGTTTTATTATCATTATTATTATTATGCTTATTATTGTGTTTTTATTACTGATTATGTTTATTATTATTATTATTATTATTATAATTGTTTTAGAGCAAATTTTAGTTATGTGTAAACAAAATACAAAACAAAAACTGCGATTGAAGCGCAGAGCAAACGTGAACGAAAAATCAAACAAAATTATTGAATAAATTCTTTGTTGTTGTGATTTTATAATTATGATTTTTTATTTATTTATCAATTGTACACATATATTTTTTTATAAAAAAAACTCACACAGACAAATATTAATTTCTTGTATAATTTTTCTTTTTTTAGCAGCTCATCAAGAAATTTGTTAACTTTTTTTATTGCTTGATTTTTAAGTAAGTATTTAAATGTTTTTTTTTGATAAATTTATTTTCGAAACGAAGTCAACATCATGAGTAATTTATAGATAAGTTGAAGCATACATACATTTATATATTTGATATTTGATTGATGTATATTTTTGATTGATTGATTGATTAACTCTTCTTTGACAGGTGGAAAATGGCGATCAATTGGAGACTATAACCGTTTCGCCTGGCATGCATCAGATGATGATACAGGGCGGACCCGGCCAGGAGCCGCAGCTCGTGCAGGTGGTCAGCCTGAAGGATGCCACACTGCTGAGCAAGGCCATGGAGGCGATCAATTCGGGCAATGTCAAGGCTGAGGATACAATCATAATGGAGCAATAGACAATTTGGCATCGAGCTGCTGTCAATCAAGATTGATCATGGAACCATACACTAATACACTCATTTTTTGATATGATTACAATCGATCTATATAAATTTATGTATATTTCTAGTTACTCGAATGTTTATTTATATTCACGACGCATAAACGAAAATATTTTAGAAGTACCTGAAAGGTGTTGCTAAAACAAAGAAGTCAACAAAAGCAATTCTCATTTGAATATTCGTTACATTTGCCATTGTTTATTTGTATCGATCTGCAATCAAATTTGTCGATTCTAGTCAGTATATACTTAAACTTTATACATATATATTTATTTATTTTTTTTTTAAATTATATATTTTTAGTTTTTATGCTGTACAAACAGTTGAGAATGTCTTCGCATAGCATAATAATTGAAGATCGCGTTAAATTTAAACAATTTTTTTTGGAACTCACTTAGTTTTTAAAAAGAAAAATAAAACGCAAAATAGTTAAATTCAAATCAATGGAGAAAACTCCAAATTCTAAATAAACCGTTTTTTGCGAGCCACTAGCAAAGGGCGCCGCACCTAATGTACTCATATACCTATACACATATATATATATATATATATATATATATATATATATGTATATATATATATATATATTTAACATTTATATAAGAATTATGCCGAGTTACTTGTACGTATGTTATGCGCTTTACTAAAAATCAATTCTCATTTGCGTCTATGCATTAACTAGTCATAAAGTTAAATTTAAAAAAAAACCAATTTAAATTAAAAAACAAAACAAAACAAAATTATAATTCATCTTAGGCCAAAAACAGAGAAACCCAATGCAATGTATACAAAATGCATCACTTTAAATTTAATTATTAATTATTAATAAATTAATAAAATGTATACAAAATGTAAACACAATTGTGCCAATTATTTCAACGTATATATATGTATATAAATAAGGCATATATATATTATATATGTATATGCGTATATACTGTATGTCCGGCTCAGCAAATGTGCATGGCAGAAACTTCTCTTTATCCTAACTAATATATATTTATTTAATTAAAATCGTAACTTTAGCTGAAGAGCTTTTAAAAAACCCAAGCCTCTTCAGCTGAGCGGCACTGTATAAATCATATATACATTTATTCTTCTAGATCAGCCTCAACAGCTGGTTTCGTATATTCATATCTGTCTCTCACAGTCACAATCTACACTGAAAAATTCTTAGGCGTTGGATTCAGGCGAAATCGACTATAGAATGATGGAAACCATAGTTAACTCGTTTAGAAAACTCTCAAAGTTTTATTTTTATTTAGGTATTTTGAAACAAAGAATATATTATATCAAAATATAATTTGTCAACGCTTTTTTTTTTTAATTCACAGTTTTCTGTATACCAACAAAATGATGAATATCAAATCGCTACATTTTGAGGGAAACTCGGGTTCCTCGCTTCACAAATACATTTTTGCGCTGAAAAAAATTTATTTTAAATACGTTTATTGATAAATAGTGCTGTAATACTTACAACTTTCCCTAAATAAAAAATTCCACTTAAATTTCTTTTTAATTAAAAAATTGTTTTATAATTTAAAAGGAAGAAGAAGAGCAACGTATTATTGTTCATTTTATTATTAACGTTACGCGTTCATTATGAATTATTGTTGTTTATTAATAGATTACAGGCTATGTGTTTAATTGCTAACATTTGTAACGCATTATTATCAATATTATTGGTTTTTTAAAAATTAAATTGTACAAAAAGTCTAGACAACAAACGCAAGAAAGAACACAAAATATTTCTTTATATATATATATAATTATATATATATATAATTATATATATAAATATATATATATATATATATGTATTTATATATATATATTTTATATGTATTATGCATGTATAACCCAAAAGTGTTTTAAGAGCACAACTCGATTAATAAAAAATAAGAAAATCAAACAAAATTTCACAAATTTCTTAAATTACAGTTAAAAAATTAAGCTACGCAACAAACAAAAAAAAATATATATATAAAACAAACTGAAGGAAAACAAATTTACAAAAAAAAAATTATATAAAATACTAATAATTAATTATGTTTAATAATAGCTACACAAAAATTTCGCTAAAAAATGTGCTAACTGATAAGGCAAACCGAACACACAAAAGGCGACTTCGAGCCGCGAATCGGAAGTCGAAATCGTATTGGAAATCGAGTCGAGCGCAAACAATGTTTAACGAAACTGAACAGAACTTGGTGGAGGCTGTGCTTGGCTGCAGGGGGGGGGGGGGGGGGGGGGGGGGGGGGGGGTGTTGTCTTCTCAGCAATAATATATATATATACACAAGCCGTATTAAATTAACGTATACGTAGATACATACATACAGCGATAATGGTCTTCAAAATATCCAAAAACTATATATAAATAAATAAATTTCTATCCTCCGCAACGTTTCAGACTAACCTCGCAAAAATAAACTCTGTGTGTGTGTGTGCGCGCGCCCTATAGCTCAGTGCTCAGCGGAGAAAAACTCCAGTGCCGCCTGACGGATTTGTAATTGAATAACAACTATTGTATTATATAATTGAGTATTAATTAATGAGGCATTCGCAATTGAATTGTTGTTTCGATAGTTTTGGTTATTGTTGTTTTTGTTGTTTTCTTGTTGATTATTGTTCAGTTATAACATTATACAATATAGCTAAAATCTCGCTGCTCTCTGCTCTTCTTTAAGCCTCTGTACTCATCGCTATTTGCCTTTTGCTGTGCTAATTTAGCTTTGTTTGTTTTTGTTTTTCAGTTTTCGGTTTTCAGTTTTTCAGTTTTTTGTTAAAAAACATGTTAATAGTTAGTGAGTAAATTTTGCTTAAAACAATATATATGATTTTGTACTCTGATCGCACTGGGTCTTTAAATGGGATCTGGATGCTGCAGTGTTGGGAGCGTGCTAGAGGGTTAAGGAAGGGGATAGCTAAAGCTTCAGCCGTGCACTGAATACTGAGCTATTTAGACTAAATAAATTAAAGATTGTAGCTAATCATCCATTGCGGCGCACTGGCCACCACATTTCAATCTCCACTATTGACTGCTGTTGCTCCTGCTGCTGCTGTTGCTCTCACTGGACGCTGCTGCTGCTGCTGCTGCTGTTGTTGTTGCCGCCGTCGTCTGTTTGGTTATCACTGAAACCGTCTGATGATGGACCGCATCGTACTCGCTTTTAATGTTGACCAGCAGCTGCTTCTGCTTCTGGTGCTCCAGCAATATGGCATCCATTTGCCGCTCGTATTTGGGCGGCAGTGCGCTGCACTGTTGTTGCTGCTGTTTCTGCTGCTGCACCTCCTCGCCTATTGTCGTCAGCTTTGTGTCCAGGCTGCGCAGCGTATGGGACAGCGCTGCTCGCAGCTGCGCCGGCGGCAACGGAGCTTCAACTGCCGCCACTTTGGGCGTCGTCGGCGTCGTCGTCGTCATTAGCCTCTGCAGCACACTGGCGCGTGCTGCTGGCGGGGGGGAGGTGTTGCTATTGGCATCATCCGGCAGCTCTAAGCTGCTGGCACTAGCCGGCGACAGCGTGGAGCTCTCACTCAGACTAATGCTTAGCTGGCGTATGACGCCGCCAGTCGCAGCGCTGCGCTCCTGCTGCTTCTGCTCCTGTTTCAGCTCCAGTTGCTGCTCCCGCTGCTGCTTCTGCTGCTGGTACTGCAGATTCCGCGCCGACGTCACATTCACCACATTCACTGACTTGGATATTGAATGCTTGACATGACCCGGCGCAGGCGGCACAAGTGCCAGCGGTGCGGGCGATGGCGCCTGCTCATCGAATGCGCCCGTCGCATGGCTGGAGGCGGGCGAGCTGCTGCTACAGCATATATCATCCATGGCATCCATGTGTACATCAGCATGGCCATTGCCATTGGTATCTGCACTGCCATTGGCAGTGCCGCCATTTGCGCTCTTCTGTAGGTTTTCAATCAAATAGAGCACAATGCGTTCCAGCTGCTGTGGCGCTCTGGACGCCGGCAGATCGGGACTGGTATGCGTGGGTATATTGGCCTTGATGATCGTCGAGAATTTGTTCTTCATCTCCTGCACCTTCTGCTTGCCGGCCTGCTCATCCAGCAGCGTGTTGACGCACAGAAACGAGTGCACCTTGTTGCTGTTCTTGTCGATCTCCAGGAAGCCCTTCGTCTGCAGGTATATAAAGTGTCCGTTCCGCGACAGCAGCCGATAGCAGCTCTCGCCATAGTCGCTGTTGCAGTCATACATCTGCCTCAATGCCACAATCACCCAGCGTACATCGTCCAAATGCATAAAGCTGAACGGGCTCAAGTTCCGCACCTGAAACAAGTAAACAAACAACAACAACAACAACAAAATACATTAATATTCGTTTGAAGAGTTTTAAGCGAATGCGCAATAAATTGTTAATAGCAGCTTAAAGCGCAACGACGATGACGACGACTAGCAAATCTCTGGCTCTGGCAAAAGTACAGTTACTAACTATATCTAGGCTATATAGTCAGAAAGTCTAGCTGAATCTATTTGTCATGCGCCTTTTGTCGTACATTCTCTAGTACTGCTCTTCTATGCAATTCTCATCAATATGACAATTAATCTGAAGTTTTCTTTGAATTTGTACATAAATAAATTTATTTCTATTTTTTATCTTTCTAACTTTGCTTATCTACATTTTTCTGACCACTCTCATCTGATCAATCGGTTGCCTAGAAACTGTAGCTATTCTTGCCCTATTTAGCCTTGTCTAACTTGAAGTTGTGCTGCCTCTCTCTCTCTCTTTTTTTATCTATCTTTTTCTCTCACATTAAATTATATATAATTCCTTACTTTTTATGGCTCTTTAAATTTAAGTTATGTGAGGATCATTCTCTCTGACTCTTGCTTTGTTTTGTTTGTTGTTTCGCGCTACATTTGGCGCTCTATCTGTCTGTCTCTCTTTCTATATATCTATCTCTTTCTATATATCTATCTCTTTCTATATATCTATCTCTGTCTCTCTTTCTCTCTCTGTTACTCTCTGAATGATATACCTTTATTTCTTTAGTTTTAAGTTTTTGTAGAGCTGGTTTATCTTAAAGATAATGTTCAATCTTTCTTGCTTTAGCGCTCTCTCCCTCTCTTTCTTGCTCTAGCTCGCTGCCTCTCACTCCCCCCTCTCTCTCCCTCTCTCTCTCTGTAAACTATACTGCAAGACCTGTAGAATGTTGCCTATAAGTATTTAATCAACCTCATTAATGCTGTTGATTAGTGTAGATTAGATTCATATGTCATGTGTCACTCACCTCATCCTTCATATAGCCCGCCACGATGCCAATGCGCTGATCACAGTCGATGATGCTGCCGTCGATGAGATGCCGCGTGCGGTATTCCAGCTGATACGGCTCCGGCTGGCGGCACATGAGGCTCAGGCAGGTGGAATCCTCGCGCATCACTCGCGCCATGGCCACCAGGACGATGTCGTTGCCACTGATCCCATGCAGCGCTGCCTGCGCAATGGCATCGTGTTGCGGCAGGCAGGGTGCTACTAATGTCGTTGCTGCTGCTGTTGCATTTGTTGCTGTTGCTGCTGCGGCGGCAGCGGCGGCGGCTACTAGCATATTATTATTACGTGAGCGCCTTATCAGCTGCGATACGATTGGATAGTTGGCGGCCGCGCCACCCGTCACCGACGAGTCGCTGCGACGAAAGCAACCATCGATTTTGACCATCTCATAGTGACGCGTGGCTTCAGCACGGGTCGAGGCGCGGGCGATCCGAATCGTGAAGCAGCGTCGATCGGCGCGCAGACGCTCATCGATGGCCGCCATATGGGCGATTGTTTGGGGGCTGGGTGTGCGTGTTCGTGTTCGCTCTAGGTCCTGGTCTAGCTGTTCCATTTCATCGTCATCGTCGCCGCCGCCGGCGCCGCCCCCGCCATCATCGTCATCATCATCATCGTCTTCATCGCTGGCTGACTGCGACTGCGTGTGCTGTTGGCGTTGGCGTTGCCGTTGGCATTGGCGCTGCTGATAAAAGAGCGTCTCGATGTCACGCGGTATTAGCTGTTGACGCAACAGCGCCTGATCATCAGGATGGGTTATCTGCAGCAGATTCTGGCCATACAAATCCGACTGGCAGTGCCCGAGCAGCTGCTCCACGCTGCCCGACACAAGCACAATCTGCCCGTTGCATGTGAGCGTCAGAAAGAAGCTGTCGAGCAACTGCATCAGCGTATCCGTTAGCTGCGGTGTATCGCCAGCGCTGATAGCGTTGCCATTGCCTCCTCCGACACTAGCGCCAGGTCCAGCTCCGCCGGCTGCTTTTACATTCAGCCTGCGTCGGCGTCGCGTTGCCGATTTGCCAAAGATGTATTGCAGCCGGAGTCCGTGCGTGGCAAAGCGTAGCACGGCTGTCTTATCCAATCGGCGTGTCGATTCGGCTGCATGCGGCACCATGGTGGCCAGCTCCTGTATGCTGGCATTAAGCTTATCCCGCCGTTGTTTCTCGGCTAGATTACGCGCTTCTCGTCCATTCGATGCGCCGCTTCCGTCGTTTGTCTCACTGTCTGTGACGGCAGCGGCGGCGGCGGCGGCTGCTGTCATAACTGCGACGCAGCCGCTGCCGCCATTCGCTGTGGCTGCAACTACTGCTGCCATCGTGTGTGTGAGTGTTTATGAATTTTTGTGTGTATGTGTGTGTGTGTGGGCGCTGCTATTGTTATGGGTGTAAATCGTTAGCTTGTTTTGATTCTGATTCTTACGTTTACGTTTACGTGTTCACGGCTTCCGAATTCGAATTCGAATTCGCTGCTCTCCATGCATTTGGTGCTTTAGGATGTATTATTATTACTTTTATTATTATTATTGTTAATTGGCGCGTTGCGGAAAATTGTCACTCTCCATAACTTTGCGGCCGTTGCCGTTGCCTCTCTGCGCTCGGCACTGTTTGCGTTTTTCGTTAAAAATTTGAGTTTTTTTGTTGCTATTTCTTTAAAGTTTTCAAGGTCTCGCTTGTCGTGTTGTTGTTATTGTTGCTGCTGCTTCTCTTGCTACTGCTGCTGTTAACCACCTTTGGGCTATACGCGCGGCCCCCTTCCTCTTTCTCTCTACACACACACACACACACTTAGGCAGCGTATGTTATATTCCGTTTTATGGAATTTTTTTTTGATTGCGTTGCGAATCTCAATCTCCTTTGCGTTGTGGCTTTGGCTCTCTTGTTTTTGTTGTTATTATTGTTTTCGTTGTTGTTTTTGTTATTGTTGGTCTTCCCGCAAGATGTGGACGAGTGGGAAGCGTATCAATGGAAAGAATGTACAATTACTTAGAATATCGCACGCACTATTTGCACTATTTTGTTTATATTAGTGATTAATTGTTTATTAAACAATTATGTAGCTCGGCGACAATTGTGGCAAAAAAATAATAATGTATCGATATATCGATATGTATGCAATCTTATCGGACTCAACGACATAACAGCTCAAATAGTTCCGTCTGAATGCAGCAAGCTAAGTATTTGTTTAATGTCATGTATGTAAATTGTTTTTTTTACAACTTACAAGTAAACATATATATACTGTAAATACTTTAAAAATCTTTAACACGAAATTTTAAAAACGCGTCATAGGATAGATACGTTCTAGCTAGGGCGAACCAGCTCAAAACGATGACATCACGATTCCGATAATAATTCCAATGAACACACAAAACACACACACACGCACACCAAATCATCGTGTTTGACTCTTCCTCTTTCTCTAGCTCCACACACTTGGCACATTTGCCAGCTGTGCACGTGAAAGCCGCCGCCGCAGCAGCATTAGCAACAGCAGCACGAACAACGCAAACGTAAATCATCAAATTTATCTTCATTGAATTCTGAATATATCTACTTAATTTAACAACAGGTCACCCACTGCACCCAATACCTAGCACCCAACACGACATGTCCAAGGCCAAAGGCAAGAAGAAAGAACGCTTCGATGAAGAGGAGGAGGAACAGCCAGAGAAAGTTAGTGTCAACGAAAAGAAACATGCGACCAAAAAGGGTAAAAAGGGAAAACGTGCTGGCGGTGGCGGCGGCGAGTCCAGCGATAATGAATCCCTAGCTGCCAGCAAGTTGTCCAATAACGATGTCGATGATCTGGAAAGCATAAAGTCTTCGCAGAGCAAACAGCAGCAGAAAAAAGCTGCCAAAAAGGGGAAGAAAGGCAAGAAAAACGACGATTGGAGTGATGATGACAAACCAGTGAAGTCAGTATCAACGCCTGATCTCGATGGCTCTGATGAGGAAACGACGCCCGTTGCAAAGCCAGCTTCCAAGAAACAACAGCAACAGCACAGCAAGAAAAGTAAAAAGAACAATAAAAAGAAGGGAAATGATGGCTTTAGTGATGATGATGATGATAATAATGAGGATGATGATGAAATTGAAGAAGACGATGAGGAAGAGCCGACGGTAGCTATAGCCAAACCGGCAGCCAAGAAATCGAAAAAGAAGCAAAAGCAACAGAAGAATAAATTTGCGATGAGCGAGGATGAGGAAGACGATTTGGACGAGAATGAGGATGCCCTAGAAGATCTAGATGATGAGCCAGAAGTTAAAGCGGTCAAACCAGCAGCAAAGAAGTCTAAGAGCCAGAACAAAAATAAATTCGAATTGAGTGACAACGACGACGACGATAATGACGCCAGCCTTTTATCCGAAAACCAAGTTGGGGATGCGAAGCCAAAGGTGGAATCAGAGACGAAACTGAGTGAAAAGGTTGCGGCAATCAAGCTAGCAGAAATTGTAACGGAACAGCCAGCGCCAGTGCCAGAACCGGAGGCGGAGTCTGAGGAGGCGGCGATCACTCCGAAGTCCGAAGAGTCATCGGAAGCGATTGGCGAATCCAAAGACAAAGAGAAGAAAATGTCGCATAAGGAGAAAAAGAAACATAAGAAACAACAGGAATACGAACGCCAAATGGAGCTTATGACGAAAAAGGGCGGCGCCGGTCACTCGGATCTGGATAACAATTTTACCATGTCCCAAGTGCAGAAGAGCGCTGGTCAACAGGCGGCCCTCGAGCATGCAGTAGATATCAAAATTGAGAATTTCACGATATCGGCTAAAGGTAAGATAATTTCACAACTTGGTGTAACTCTTACATAAATCGGCCTCTCTCTTTTTGCTTTGTTCAGGAAATGATTTGTTTGTGAATGCCAATCTGCTGATTGCCCATGGACGTCGCTACGGCCTGGTGGGTCCCAACGGACACGGTAAGACCACTCTGCTCCGGCACATAGCCTCACGCGCATTTGCCATACCGCCGAACATCGATGTGTTGCTGTGCGAACAAGAGGTGGTTGCCACCGATAAGACAGCTATTCTTACCATACTGGATGCCGATGTGAAGCGCACCGAGATGCTGAAGAAGGCCGACGAGCTGGAAAAGCAATTTGCCGCTGGAGATCTGAGCGTCCAGGAAGAGTTGAACGACACATTTGCCGAGCTAAAGGCAATTGGTGCCTATTCAGCGGAGGCAAGAGCACGTCGTATCTTGGCTGGTCTGGGCTTTAGCAAGGAGATGCAAGATCGACCCACAAACAAATTCTCTGGCGGTTGGCGAATGCGTGTTTCTCTGGCACGTGCTCTGTATTTGGAGCCAACGCTGTTGATGCTCGATGAACCGACAAATCATTTGGACTTGAATGCGGTTATTTGGCTGGACAACTATTTGCAAGGCTGGAAGAAGACGCTGTTGATCGTGTCTCACGACCAGAGCTTCTTGGACAACGTATGCAACGAAATCATCCATCTGGACCAGAAGAAGCTGCAGTACTACAAGGGCAACTATTCCATGTTTAAGAAAATGTACGTGCAGAAGCGACGTGAAATGATCAAGGAATATGAGAAGCAAGAAAAGCGACTCCGTGAGCTCAAGGCGCACGGACAGTCGAAAAAGGCAGCCGAGAAGAAGCAAAAGGAAACGCTCACACGCAAACAGGAAAAGAACAAAACCAAGCAGCAGAAACAGGACGAGGACGAAGGTCCGCAAGAGCTGCTGGCCCGGCCCAAGGAATATATTGTCAAATTTCGTTTTCCCGAGCCCTCACAGCTACAGCCGCCGATTCTGGGTGTTCACAACGTGACGTTCGCGTTCGAAGGCCACAAGCCTTTGTTTGTGAAAGCCGATTTCGGCATTGATCTGACCAGTCGCGTTGCCATTGTGGGTCCCAATGGTGTGGGCAAATCCACATTTCTCAAGCTGCTCCTGGGCGAACTGGAGCCGCAAGAGGGCGAACAGCGTAAGAATCATCGCTTGCATGTGGGACGCTTTGATCAGCATTCGGGCGAGCATTTGACAGCTGAGGAATCGGCAGCTGAATATCTGCAGCGTCTGTTCAATTTACCCCATGAGAAGGCACGCAAAGCGCTGGGCTCCTTTGGCTTGGTCAGCCATGCGCATACCATCAAAATGAAGGATCTTTCCGGCGGCCAGAAGGCTCGTGTCGCTCTCGCCGAACTGTGCCTTAGCGCGCCCGACGTGCTCATTCTCGATGAGCCGACCAACAATCTAGATATCGAATCGATTGATGCCTTGGCCGAAGCCATCAATGAGTACGAGGGCGGCGTCATCATTGTCTCTCACGACGAGCGTCTCATACGCGAAACGGGCTGCACACTCTACGTCATTGAAGATCAGACAATTAACGAGATCGATGGCGAATTCGACGACTATCGCAAGGAGGTGCTCGACTCCCTCGGCGAGGTGGTCAACAATCCGAGCGTAGTGGCCAATGCGGCTGTGCTGCAATAGCCTACACAATATGAATTTGTCTCCTTCTCTTTGGCTGTTGCAGATTACTTCACTAGATAGCCTTTTTATACATATATATATGTGTGGGCCACCAAATCCCAATAAAGCAAACACGCAATGTTGAATTTTTTGCAAAATAACTCTTATTTATGGATTTAAATTTAGTTGGGCAGTTCCTAATTACCCATATCGATAGAACTGCTGAACGTTGTTCAGCAGCTGAGTCATCGTATTGTAGCTGTCCACATCGAAGTCTATATTTTCTCCGCCGAATTCGATGATCTGCGATTAAATTGAAATATTAGCGAAAAACTTATCATCTGTAGCAATATATAATTTTTTTTACCTCTTTCGCCCGTATGGTGTCGCCGGCGCTTGGAATGCCAATCACCTCCACCCAGGAGCCTTGAGCAGCGTCCAGTTCGCTGGGCAGATTGATCCGCAGCTTTTGGTTATCTGTGCTGGCGGCCAATAATGTTGTCCCGGCCACGCTCTCGACGCGCACCATAATGCTCACAGATTGGCCGGTAAACTGTTTTAGCATACCGCCATTAACAAGAGTGCGCGATTCAAATGGTGTATTCATTTTTTTAACAAAAAAATTTTAAGTAGTAATACTGATTGAACAAATTGCGAACCTTCAGCAAATGTAAATGCGTTCAACAAAAAAATTGCGCGAAACAATCGAGCTAAAGAACTAATTGCTAAGAAAAATATCGATTGTATATCGATAGCTTTTTTTAATCGAGGAATTTCCCAACAAAAAATCCACCATTCAAAAGTTTAGTACCTCTTAGAGCATTTAGACCTTGCACTACATATGTATATGCGTGCATAAATTTTCTTAATTTTTTATGTAAAGTAATTTTATTAAAAACAAATCGCAAAAATATAATCTTTTTAAACTTAGGAAGGACTAAATGTAGTGATTAAATCACAATTTCACAATCTAATAATGTCTAATAGGATCCTCATCATCACTGGACGGAGGATATATACAAATGGTTGGTTTCAGAAATTTGTCACGTTTGTTTTTGGCATTCTGGTTCATGCCGCGCTTTACCAAGCTTCCCATTACAATAAACTTCTTGACTTTTACCTTCGATTTCTGTTGAACAGACACTTGCCCTGACAAAGGTTTACGCGCGACCGGTGATGTTTTCAAGTCTCTCATCGATTTCATTAGACTCCGCTTGGCATTTGGAGTCTGCACTACGTGCTCATTTCCAGATGATAATTTTCTCTTCTTCAAACTGCTTGGGGTTTTTGCTGTGGTACGAACCATGGTAGATAACTGCAAATTTGATAGAGTCTTCTGCAACGACATCGTTGAACTCGACATTGCCGACATATGGCTCAGGGTCAAGGTAGTTTGAGAACCTGTAGATCCTGCTGAAGCAGGTGGCAAGATCTTGCCGTTGGTTGAAGCTGTACCTCCCTGTTTTCGAACGGTGCTGTGTTGCTCTTTGCCCTGACGAAGCCGAACCCAATCTTTTTCCATACGCTCCAGTATATTTTCACCATGGACCAGAAACGGACACTGATTACGTATTTCATATGCTTTAACTAATTCTGTAATCTGTTGCTCAATCTTCGGCAACTTGGTTCCAATTGCCTTCCGTTCGCGTTCCTCCTTAAGGAGCTGCCCACCACGATTGTTAAACCGATTAGGATCGTTGGCCTTCGCCTCGAGAGCCTCCATTCTGACCCAGAACTCGGACCGACTGGCAAACAGCTCAAATATCTCTTTGTTGCTATTGTAAAAGCTTTTCAAATCATCCAGCTCGAGTTCATGAAGCTCCAACAATTCCTCGCTGCATTGCTCTTTTAAGTTTGTAAAACGTTTTCGCTCCTGCTCTGACTTCAAGGTCAAGTCCCACCACTTCTTGATCTCTAAACGCAGTTGCTCGATGAAAGTCTTCAGGTTCTTACGACGCAGCGCCTGGCACCGCTGCAGTTCCTCGCGCAACACATCAAATGTTGACTGTGTATACTCATCGGCTTTACGCACTCTATTCATTACATATTCGTCTGACTCTTGCAGACGCTCCCACAGCTCATATATCTTCCCGCGCATATCGTCGATCTGTTCCCGCATTTCCTGAACCTGTGCTGCAAACTCCTTCTGCATGAGTCTAAGCTTCTCCAAGATATTAGGAGTCAGATGCTGGTTCGCCTGACTAAGCAAGTGCTCCTCTGCAGCTGTGTTCGGCATTATTGACAGTAGCTTCATGTCCTGCTTGATTTGATTTTGTAGCTGGAACAGTTCTTCCATTCGGCGCTCGCGCACTTCGCGCAACTGCTCGAGGTGCTTACAAAATGACGACATTTCCTCCGGCCTGGGCAGTGGATCCACAATAAGTACTAGCGGAGACTCACCTAGTTCTTCGCACAGCTGATCTTGCTGCAGAAGCAGCCCGCAGATCTCGGCACGACGTTTACATAATTCCTCCCGCAAGTACTCAATGCTTTTGTCCAACGTTTGCAGCCAGACGTCAAGCGGCATTTCCTCCGGTTTTTCGCCAATATCTAAGTTTTTATGCAGCAGACGACGGATATCGGAGGCCTCCTCTCGCAGAGTATTAATATCTTCCTGAATTACCTGCTCTTTCTCATTTGATTCTGTAAGCAAGTCGCAATAGAAATTCTTCACGCGGTCTCCCAATTTATCCATCAATTCCAGACAGTATTTCTCATCAAACATATTTGTCCACTTGTTAAATAGACGATCGACATGATCACTAGTAATAGTCATAATCGTTGACTTCGGTAATGGCCGTTTGGCCATGTTTACATATTTTAAGTTGTAATTTTTATAGGAATTAACAAAAAACTGTCTAAAATGGACGCCAACTTCAATTGAATATTTCGGTAAATTTAAACACACAAATTGACGTTGCCACATTTGAAAAATACCATTTCCTAAACCCAAAGCAGTATTTTATAGTTTAAAAGTTGGTAGCGCCGTTCAGTTATTTGACCCATTATATTATTAAATACTGAGGCATGGATAGTCCATGTTTGTTGGACTTATTTTAAAATTGCTAACGTTTATTGACATTTCCTAGCTATTTTAAGTTAATAATAAATTCCATTATACTATACACAGTATTTTCGCGTACCTATAGAAAATGTGATGGTCTGGAAACGGAGTCATTTCCTTGTGCAATCGAAAAATGTTGCTATCGAGAGCTGCAAATTGTGTTCTACTTAAGGAAAATAAGAACTATGAATTAATTTGTTGTCAACTGTCTAAATATATCCAACAAACGTGACTTCAGTATTTAAAAATTCGTATGTCTTTCATAACTGAATGGCGCTGCCAACTTTCAAACTTTTAAATACTGCTTTTGATCTAGAGATGGTATTTTTCAAATATGGCAACGTCAAGTTGTGTATTCAAATTTACCGAAATATTCAATTGATGTTGGCGTCCCCTTTAGACTGTTTTTTTTGTTAATTCCTATAAAAATTTAAATTTAAAATACGTAACTATGGCGGAACAGCCATCACCCAAGTCAACAATTGTGGCTATAACTAGTGATCATGTCGATCGTTTATTTAACAAGTGGACAAATATGTTTGATGAGAAATACTGTTTGGAATTGATGGATAAATTGGGAGACCGCGTGAAGAATTTCTATTGCGACTTGCTTACAGAATCAAATGAGAAAGAGCAGCTAATCCAGGAAGATATAAGTGCACTGCGAGAGGAGGCCGAAGAAATACGTCGCCTGTTGCATAAAAACTTAGATATTGGCGAAAAACCGGAGGAAATGCCGCTTGACGTCTGGCTGCAAACGTTGGACAAGAGTATTGAACACCTCCGAGAGGAGCTACGCGAACGTCGTGCGGAAATTTGCGAGCTGCTCCTGCAGCAGGATCAGCTGTGCGAAGAGTTAGGTGAGTGCCCTCTGCCACTTCTTGCCGATCCACTGCCCAGGCCGGAAGAAATGTCGTCCTTTTGCAAGCACCTCGAGCAGTTGCGGGCAGTGCGCGAGCGCCGTATGGAAGAGCTATTCCAGCTGCGAAGTCAGATCAAGCAAGACATGAAGATGCTGTCAATAATGCCGAACACAGCTGCAGAAGAGCACTTGCTTAGTCAGGCAAACCAGCATCTGACTCCTAATATCTTGGAGAAGCTTAGACTCATGCAGAAGGAGTTTGCAGCACAGGTTCAGGAAATGCGGGAACAGATCGACGATATGCGCGGGAAGATATATGAGCTGTGGGAGCGTCTGCAAGAGTCAGACAAATATGTAATGAATAGAGTGCGTAAAGCCGATGAGTATACACAGTCAACATTTGATGTGTTGCGTGAGGAACTGCAGCGGTGCCAGGCGCTGCGTCGTAAGAACCTGAAGACGTTCATCGAGCAACTGCGTTTAGAGATCAAGAAGTGGTGGGACTTGACCCTGAAGTCAGAGCAGGAGCGAAAACGCTTCTCAAACTTTTTTAATGAGTGGTACAACGAGGACTTGTTGGAGTTACATGAGCTCGAGCTAGATGATTTAAAAAGCTTTTACAATAGCAACAAAGAGATATTTGAGCTGTTTGCCAGTCGGTCCGAGTTCTGGGTCAGAATGGAGGCTCTCGAGGCGAAGGCCAACGATCCTAATCGGTTCAACAATCGTGGTGGGCAGCTCCTTAAGGAGGAACGCGAACGGAAGGCAATTGGAACCAAGTTGCCGAAGATTGAGCAACAGATTACAGAATTAGTTAAAGCATATGAAATACGTAATCAGTGTCCGTTTCTGGTCCATGGTGAAAATATACTGGAGCGTATGGAAAACGATTGGGTACGCCTTCGCCAGGCCAAAGAGCAACAAAGCTCAGCGCGCAAGCAAGGAGGGATAACTTCAGCCAATGGCAAGATGTTGCCACCTGCTACACCGGGGTCTATGGCTCCTCGGACGCCTTTGTCGTTGAGGAATATGTCTGCAATGTCGAGTTCAACGATGTCGTTGCGGAAGACTCCATCGACTTTGCAGTTATCGTCGATGACTGGCTCCGCGGCCAAGACCACAGGCAATCTGCACAAAAGGAAGTTGCCAAAGGCCGAAAATAGTTCCACAGACGAGACCCCAAATGCCAAGAGGAGCCTGATGAGGGCGTTGAGTACGTTAAAGCCATCACCGGCAATGCGAAAGCCCATCCAGCGACTAGCTGCAGCCCAGCAAAAGCCAAAAAAGTCGCCAATGAAGAAGGTTCTAGTGTTGGAGAATACTTTGCGTCGCAGCGCTGGTGTGGGTCGTCGTAGCATTGGCCAATCCAGCAAGAAGCGGCGTAGTAAGGTGGGCATACCGACTATTCACGTGCATCCATCTACCAGTGATGAGCAGGAGCAAGAGCAAGAGCAAGAGCAGGAGCAGGATCCCGAGGAGATTGTCAACTATAATAAATTTGCACCAAAAGTTCGTTCGTCTGAACTGCCGCGAACATTGGCCTCCTCTCGACCAGCTTTTGCAGCCAACAAAGACAAGAAACAGTATGCGCGCAGGGAATTGAACGAAGACCTTGCGCAAGCGGTAGAACTGCCAGAGCCCAGACGTAGCAGAATGTGGCAGCTTAAGCATAAGAATTAAGATTAACCTATTAATATAATTATTTCATTTAAATCTACTTGATGTTTATTTTAATTGCTTTCCTATTTTTGTTGTAACTTTTTGAAGTACTTTGAGATTTATTTTATCTATATAAAACCCGTTGGTTACTTCGTTACTTCTGTTGGAGAACCATCCAATATAACAATCGATTAATATCTTAGCGGAGCCTAAGCAAAGAGTGAACTCAGCAACGTTTTATTTAAGAGCAACTACAAGTTAAATGGCATCTCCGACTTAATCTTAGTATCTTGTAAGCAATTGAAGTGTCTTAAGATCAATGTAATGTATTTGCAAGTTTTAACTATTCCATTTAGTGTTGCGATCCATATACATACTGTCGAGAAGCAAATGGCAACAAGAGCTTAGTTGCAAGACTAGCCCAATCCCTGTACGATTATCACATCCTATTCCCGTTAACTGGAGAACAGGAAATCGAGAAATGGTATGACAACCAATCTGAAAGCTATGGACGTCTGGGGCATAACAATGTTGTATAAGTAATTACTAAGAAATTATGTTAGATCTTGGCATACTTAAGTATTAACGCTTGTTCAATATTACATATATAAATAAAACTAACTTTTCTTGCTTTTCAATTGTTTTTTTTTCATTGTATTTACAGGATTGGTTACATCATAAAATAATATAGCTATTCGATATCTTTAACTCATACAAACTTGATTTATAAAAAGAATTTTTTAGTTTAGATTAGCTAGAATTTGAACATTTCGTCGATTCTGAACACATACGTATCCGTATGTATGTATGCATCGATTTCATTATATTATCTATAACGATTTCACTGGCTTAGAAGAATTAGCACAATTATATATTTTATTCTATATATATATATATAGTAGAGATCGCTTAGCCGTATGTAATAAAAAATAATGAAAAAAAGATTAACTGAACTATAAGGCGTAATTTGTTAATATATTTTACATACATATATACAAGATCAACTTAATATTTTCTGATTGGAATTGCGATTGAATAAATCTCTTTTTAATTTATAGGGCAACGTCGGCTATTTACTGGCATTGCTCTGCTGACTGTTGCCGCCGTGATTGTACATCAGATGCGCTGAAACGGAGACAGCAAGAGAGAGAGAGAGAAGGAAAGCATTAGCTGACATATCTATGACCAAATTAAATAGGTTTTTATTACCCATTACTACTGGCGCTATACTGAAGGTGCCAAATGGTGCCGTCGCAGTTGTACTTGTTGCATTTGTCGTTGCACCCACGAATCCGCTAGCATCTGACAGTGGCACGGACACGGAGACGGGCACTGGTGACGTTGTACTATAGGTCACCGGTGAATGCAGAATGGGCGTGGCAATTGCCGCTGGCAGCTGCGTAGTAACAGTGGCCATAGGATGCGGATCGGGCGTTGATTGCTGATAACGTGCAGGTGGCATAACGACGGTGGTCAGATGCGAGTGGTTGGGCTCGTCCAGCAGCCCGGTGCGCTGCAACCGACCCGTCTTTGTCTCGATATGCTTATTGTGGGCACTCAGGCAATGGTTCCGCATGTGATAAAGCTGCAGAAAATAGGCATCGCAATGCGGGCACTTGTACCGCTCGCCAGTATGTCGTCGTATGTGGGCCTTCAAGTCGTTACTCTGGCTGAAGCTCTTGGGGCACTGATCACACTTGTACGGACGTTCGCCCGTATGGGTGCGCATGTGTATGGTCAGATTGTAGGCGCGATGGAAGCTCTTGCCGCAAGTATTGCACAGATTGGGCTTGGTACCGGTGTGGTACCTGTAAATCAAATTCCATTCGTTAGGGCAGACAGTCAAACAGTTGACATTAGGTCTTTAATTCCCACTTACCGCTCGTGTACCTTAAGATCTGTGGCACGTGGAAATGCTTTGATGCAGTAACGACACTTGTATGGCTTCTCGCCATTGTGCCGTCGCATATGGACGCGCAGATAGTCGTTGCGCGCGAAACTGTCTCCGCAAATGCAACAGAGGAAATTACGCTGACCGGTGTGGGTCTTTTCGTGGCTGCGCAGCTGTTGGCGCTCCTTGAACGTCTCGTCGCAGCTCTTGCATGCGTATAGGAACTCCGTGTGGAGTAGAGTATGCTTTCGCAGGTATGTCTTGCTGGAGAAGCGCTTTGCACAGTACTCGCACGTATGCTCGCTCATTTGGAGCTTCAGCTCGTTGCTGGCGTCGAGACCCTCGCCATTGTGTTTGCTCATCTTGTGTCGATCGAGTGCATCGAGACGGGCGAACGCCGCATCGCAGAGAACGCACTTGTGCTCCTTACTGCCGTGAAGGCTTTGCACATGCGCCTTTAAATGATCGCTACGCGCAAATGCCTTGGGGCAATGCGGGCAGCTGTGCGGCTTCTTTTCCAGATGGGACAATTTATGCCGCAACAAATGACAATGGCGGGAGAAGGTGCGCATGCAGACATCACAACGATTCTCCGGATTTGCTTCCGTTTCACTTTGTGTCTTTTTGCGGCGCCGACGTCGCTGCTTGCCGGTTGTCGGCTTTTGCAAATACTCCCGCACGATTTCCACTTCAGCCAGCTTCGATTTGTGCCCATCGAGCTCTGCATTAGCTTCATCCTCATCATCATCTTCATCTTCATCGTACTCTTCATCAATGTCACTCTCCTCATCACCATCTTCATCCTCGTCAGCACTGTGAAAAAGATCGGCTGTTGCGGCCTCCATCTCATACTCCTCATCTACTTTGATGCTGTCAACGCGCTGTCGCTCCTGCTTAATGGGCAATTGCTGTTCATTGCCGGTGGCAAGTGGTTCCTCTGTACGCACAAAGTAAGAAAATCGATGTGTTACAAGATTTATGTTAAAGTTCGAGTATGACTTACCTTTTACCTCTGTAGAAAATGAACTCGAGGCTGGCTTCTGCCTGCTAGCGCTTTCATGCTCGTTCTCTGTATCTGTGTGAGCTGAAACTTTTAAATTTGGTTTCTTTTTGCGCCTGTCGCGATTCACTTGCTCAAGCTCCGCCTCCAGTTCTGGTTCTGGCTCTGGCTTAATATGCAGCCAGAGCGATTGTTTCGCCTCGGCATGTACGTCATCATCGGCAGAATCCTCATTGCTAGATATGGGATTAGTAGTATGGCATTGATAGCCGCTCTCGGTATTTTCGTTATCAGAACAGACAGCCGGATCATTGAATAAGACAGCAGCCGATTCTAGTTCATCGCCACTTTGCATGGTCGCCTCGTCAATGGGCGGCCATGTCGCTTCAGAATCCTGCTCCTGCTGCCGAGCCACATCGTGGACACTTCGCATATGGCGTATAAGATGATCGCGTCGCGAGAACGCGCGCTGGCAAACTCGACATTCCAGACGTCGACGTAGCAACGGCGCCGCTGACTTTTGATCATGCTGCTCGGCGAGATGGTTGCGCAGCTGACGAAGCTTTTGAAACTGCTCATCGCAGAGCCTGCACTTTAGCTCCTCCGTATTCAAATGCTGGCGACTACGATGCAGACGCAGTTCGAGAATGTTAAGAAATTTTTCATTACAGATACCGCATGGCAGCATATGTAATTGATCAGTCTGGGTGCAGACATCGCTGCTGTTTGGCTTGGTTACAGGTGTGCGTCCCAGCATAGCCACCAGCGAACGATAGGCCTTCTCGGCGTCCTGCTTGAAGCGATACGCTTGGCAGGCGGCCTTGATGCAGGTGTCGCACATATGATGGGGCATCTTGTCATATCGCTCGCAGGTGTAGCGCGTGCACTCGTTAAGTATTTGGGCGATGTTCGCGCCCTGCTCCACGGGCGCCTCATCATAGATAAAGTAGAAATCGCCCACCTCGCGAAGGCAAACACGACAAACGCGCTCCGCATCGAATTGCCCGTAGGTGTCAGGCATTGGGATTAGAGAACAAATTTATGCTACAATCAAATACCTTCTTTTAGTGTTGTGGCATTGCGCTTAATGGATGTTTTGTATATCTTTTGAGTTCTTTATTTTACATTTTCTTTCACTTGAACGGAAATATGCGACGGTCTGGCACCATTTATCCATGCAAATAATTCAGTGGCAACGTCAAGCGAATCTTTAGTGTTGTGTAAGACCATCGTAGCGCGCGCATTCAAAAGCAAGTGTGGCAATTCGCAAACAAAACAAAAAGGAATCTTTATTTTCTTATATTCAACAAATATAATTAACATCTATTAAGGGAAGTGCTACAGTCAGAACTTAATAATTTTGCACCTGCGGCTTTATCGGTGATCAATGTTAGATTTCCATGTGTAGGCTCAACCCAAGCTGAGGGGAAACTTTTATCCCCGTCTATAAATACACGCTGTAAAGAAATAAACAAAATGTAAAAACTTCATAAATATTTCTCCGGTTTTCTTACCTTAACAACATCAGCTTTACTGGCACCAGTGACAACAAAGACCACATCGTTAGCATTGTTGATCAGTGGAAGTGTAAATGTTATTCGTTCTAGTGGAGGTTTCGGTGAATCACGTATCGGAATGACAAGTTGTTCGGTGTGCACCTGGAATTGTGGTCGATCCGGAAACAAGGAGCACGTGTGTCCGTCCGGTCCCATACCCAAAAGCAGCAAATCGAACACCACACAAGATGTGCCAAATTCGTCTATTATACGAGCAGCATAGTCACAGGCGCAGGCATCCAACGATATCGTCGTATTAGCTTTGATTAGCTGGCTCTCCAAAATAGTGGGTAGTTTGGCATGCATTTCAGTTCTGTACGCATTGAAGGTGGATTCATTATCATCGTCCGGGACATAACGTTCATCGCAGAAAAAGAATTTCCAGCAATCGGTCTTTAATTTACTGGCGACTAGAGCGCGGGTCAAGAGCTGTACAAGTGATCCACCTGTTGATCATATAAAATGTATGACATTATTATTCCATTGACTTTGAGAATCGAAGTGTGTGCCGCAAGGTCACCTTAAGTTAAGCTCGTCACACACACATATACAAATGCACAATGAAATCCGCATTATAATACGCACCTGAGATTCCAACTCGAAACGTTTGACGATTTTTCAGAGCTTTACTCGAGCAACGCTCTAATATTTCGCTTAAACTTTGCACTAGGATGTCCTCCGTTTCTGCTACATTTACGTGAAATGGGTACTTTCGACTTGGCATGTTTTCAGTTAATAAATCAGCCGAATGATGTTTTACAAATTAATTGGGAATAAATAAATTTGGGTTGTATTTTTGTGTGGCAGCGTTGCCACTTCAATAACGATTGGATGCAAATTACACAACACTGAATACATTTAGAGCACACGGTAGTGCTGTACAACGTTAGAACGCCATTGCCATGACATCTGTCATTTACACAAATACAAATACATATACTCCGAGAAATTCATAAAATTGCGTTGCAAATTCGCGCTCTTTAAATATTTTCGTCTTGCAATATTAATTGTTTGCAACGACTTGTGAACATATTGTGTCCACTCTCTTCTCTATTGCGTTTATCGTGCTGCGAGTTTTGCGCATTTCCATTTCGAGGGGCAATCGAATTAACCATTACAACAAGAACAACTACAACAGCAACGGGGACAAAAACAACAGCAATAGCGATTGCAACGTGTGCTCCCACATAGAATACCTTGTTTATTATTTTAGCGACTGGTGCTCTTCGCTTAACTCTTGATACCTAGTGTGTGTGTGCGAAATGCCTAAGCGCGGCGGTGGCGGTGGCGGTCAACGGTACAACAACAACAACGTTGGCAATGGCAGCGGTGGCGGCGGCAGTGGCGGATCACGTTTTTCTGCCTTAAAAGACTATGATGGTAGGCTATCCATCGAGTCGAGAATCTATGAGTCGTTCATCGATTATTATCAATAATGAATGTTTGTTTCTTTTTGAAGACGATGACCATCAGCGTCGCAAGGATCGCAATAAGCGACGCGTCAGCTTCAAGACATCACAGTTTCCACACAAAAGCGATGTCAAGCTACGCTTGCAGGATGTCCGTCGCTGGGACGAGGACGACGACATGAGCGAAATGACAACCACAGTAAAGGTATGTTTAATTATTATTTTATGCATATTAGATTCAAAATTCGAATTGATTTGCTTGCAGGATCGCCCCAGCTCGCGACGACGCGGCTCACCGATTCCACGTGGTAAATTTGGCAAACTAGTGCCCAATGGAGCTGGCTGGTATCAAGTGACCGTAAGTAATATATAATATAAATATAGTAATAGCTTTTGCCTTACCAATTCTGTTCCATTAGCCCCTACCTTCTCTCTCTATGTTAGTTCAATGATTTATAACACAGTTTGATGTTATTAATCAATAGGGCGATATGTTAAGAGTCAATATATCTTGCTGTTACAGCTATTCGCTTTCATCTAACTTTTACTAACGATAATGTTATACTGTTTGTTGAAAATGTTGAAATACTTATCGAAGGATGATTGTAAATCTGTTATGAAATGGGGTAAAGAAAATAGTGTCTGATCGTTGATTAGTTGCCAATTTAGCACAGGTTAGTTTTTCTTGCTTATCGCATAAATCGCAAGTTTATTGTCGCCATGTATATAGTCATCTGTTCTGTCGCCTATAAAGATATACATCAGCAGTCAGTGTGATAAACAGCGAGACTTTGGCATTAGTATTAATAAAACTTTAAATCACAAACACACAAATTGCTTATCATGCAGTTACATTTGTATGTAGTCATACGATCTTAATATCAATTAAGTACAAAACTTGTTTTTCAAGTACTATGAACGGCTCGTTTCTATTTCGATTATGTATTATCATTTTATTGACTACAATTAAAATGTTGACTCTAGCGTTCCAAATTACTACTACTAGACTTCTTGGTATTTCCTAGAATAATGCTTGTCACCTAAAATATTTTTAGTTTATTTCATGAACACATATTAATTGATGAAGCATAATTAAAGCAAATAGTAATAGAATATTCTCATATGAGCATAATTGCAAACTAACTATAGTGCAGCTCACATGATTAGAATAAGTTTTGATATAATTAGGATAGTTCATGTGAGTTTCTATCTCTATGTATGCGAGTGTGTGCGTGTGTGTCGATAAGTTTATTTATTTAACAACACAGTTATTGTCCTCATGCTGATCACAGTGCGCCTCGGTCACAGCGTGTACTCCCAAGTGCTGGTAATGAATATAGTCGCCAGCTAATCTACTATCTCTCAGCAGCGGCGGCCAATGAAGCCAATAAAACAGGCGTCAAAACAGGCGGCAGCGCTGTTTCCTTTTAGCCGCTAAACCGACAAGTTTGCGGCTGGCGTTTGTGTAGTGGTTGGGCCATTTCATTGACGGCCGGCAAACGTTAAAGTCGCGCGCAGCCAGCTAAAAAAAGCCGAATCTCAAGAGCAAATTGGACTCGCGCCTGTTACACATATGCATTTGATATTGTCGGGTATTATCGCTGGCGCTTATCTAAAAGCAAATATTGGTTGTCTTTCGATTAAAGGGCAAGGAAATTAACGATCTGTGCGTACGCACAACAACAAATTCCAGATCTGCACTGGGCAGCAACACACGGAATAGGCTCGCGCGTGCGCTCTCTCTCTCTCTCTCTCTCTCTCTCGCTCGCTCTCTTGCAAAGTCCGTGACAGTGTTGCCATCTCATAAAAGAAATTGAGAGAGAGTAGAGTTGAACAGCTCTGTGCAATGACCACCTTAGGAGCGTGGGACTATGCCATCCTGGCCGTGGTCCTGATCATATCGATAGCAATTGGTGTCTACTATCGATTCGTGGACAACAAACAGCACAATACTACGGCATATTTTCTGGCTGATCGTTCCATGGGCGTAACGCCAGTAGCGTTCAGCTTGATGGCCAGCTTCATGTCGGCGGTAACAATACTCGGCGTTTCCATGGAGATCTATCAGTATGGCACCATGTTCGTCATCATCAATATCTCTTATGTGCTCTCGACGCCCGTTGCCGCTTATCTGATACTTCCGGTATTTTATCAGCTGAAAACGGCCAGTGTCTATGAGTATCTGGAGCTGCGCTTTGGCTATGCCACGCGTTTGGTGGCCTCGATGGCCTTCTCGCTGCAGATGATACTCTACATGGGCATTGTGGTGTTTGCCCCGGCTCTGGCGCTGGAGGCAGTCACGGGTCTCAATCAGATCTTCTCGGTGCTGATTGTTGGCATCGTCTGCACCATTTATGCAACCATGGGTGGCATGAAGGCGGTACTCATGACCGATATATACCAGTCGATCCTGATGTTTGTTGCCGTCTTCAGCGTGATCATCTGTACGGGCATCAAGGCGGGTAGCTTCGACATCGTTTGGAATACAGCGCTAGAGAATGGCCGCATCGACTTTACCAACTTCAGCATTGATCCAACTGCTCGACACACCTGGTTCACACAGGTGCTAGGCGGCAGCGCCACCTATCTGACCCTGTACGGTGTGAATCAAGCGCAAGTACAACGTCTGCTGGCCGTTCGCAATCTGCGATCCGCGCGCGCCGCTCTCTGGTGGTGTTTGCCCATATTGTGCCTGCTAAGCATCAGCACCTGCTTCTCGGGCTTATGCATCTATTGGTATTATCGCAACTGTGATCCGCTGCTGGCTGGACGCGTCAGCTCTCGGGATCAGATTATGCCGCTCTTTGTGGTGGACACCATGGGTGAATATACAGGACTGGCGGGTCTCTTTGTGTCTGGCATATTTTGTGCCAGCTTGTCCACCATCAGCACGGCCATCAGTTCGCTGGCTGCTGTCACGCTGGAGGATTATCTAAAGCCGCTGGTGCATAGCTGTACGAAGCGCACGCTCACCGACCACCAGACCATGTGGTATTCCAAGCTGTTGTCTGTCTTCTTCGGTGCCCTCTGCATAGGCATGGCATTCTTGGCTGGCTCCATTGGTGGACTGCTGCAGGCGGCTCTCTCCATCTTTGGCATCATTGGCGGCCCCCTCTTGGGCCTCTTTACGCTGGGCATGTACGTGACGTCGGCCAATCAAAAAGGCGCCATTGGCGGCCTGCTACTGTCGCTCGCCGTTTCCTTTTGGATTGGCTTCGGCCAGCCAAAGCCACCGATACCCAGCCTGGACATGTCCATTGCCGGCTGCCCAGCCGATCGCAGCTACGCCAGCGACATACTGCTGCTGCAAGCGAACGCTGCCCACTTTAGAGAGAGCCCTGAGCCAGAATCCTCGTACTTTTATCTGTACCGCATTAGCTACATGTGGTATGCACCACTCGGCTTTCTCATTGCCTTCTTCGGTGGCTGGCTGCTCTCGTACTGCATGGCGGCGTTCAAGTGGGACAACAATCGACGCATCTACCATGACGCCGATTGCACGCTGATCAAGCACGATCTGTTTGTGCCGCCCATAGCCAAGCACTTGCAGCGCCGCCAAATGCCACGCCTAGTCGTGACCAGCACCACCAGCAGCGGCAGTGGCAGTGGCAGCGCTACCTGTAGCAACAGAAGCAGCTACAGCAGCAAGGAGCCCAAGTCCGACTGGCAGCACACGACAGCGGACAAGCAACATACGCAAATCTAATTTATTGAACTCTTTTCATTTCTTCTTCGTTTTCGTTTTTTTTTTTTATTAAGTGCAACGCGTTGTACATTTGATAATGAAGAAGCTGCTTAGAAATAATAAACAAAGATTTTTTAAAATATAACTGATCCAGGCGAAGGCGAAGCCTAGCTAGGAATTGGCTGTGCTGTGGTTGCGGCTGCTGCGGGCTGGACACGATTGTCGCTGGCCTCGTAGTAGTTGCGTCCTTGGGCCATGTGCCACAGCGCGAGTAGGCGTGTCAGCTCCTTATAGCTGAGCGTGTTCAACGCCTGCTGCTCGGATGTGTGGACGCCCGCTGCACGCAGCTGCTCCACTATGGTGTCGTATACGTTGCTATTGCTTAGCTCCAGTTCGGAGTTCGTTTGTTGTTTGGGCGCTATTTTCAAGATGTGCGGCAATTCCTGTGTTTGCGCTTGCCCTTGCCCTTGCGCCTGCTCCATGGAGTCCAGTGAGACGAGCTCCTCCTCGTTGGCCATAGGCAGAGCTGTGCAGTGGGCAGCAAGCATTGCCAGCAGGCCGATGGCCAGGCAAACGCTATACTTCATGTTCGCCTTTAGCTCTTTGGCTAATTAATTAATTAATTGAAATGTATTTTTGATTTGTTGTTGATCGTTGATCCGTCGTTGGGTTGCCTGCCTGCCTGCTTGTCGGAGGGTCGCGTTTGCACTGACAATACACACAGAACTTAACTTTGCTGCCGTCCGATCGTGGCATGAACGGGCACAGAACCTAACAGTCGGCGGGGGCGATGGTGCGCTCCAATTTCTGTTTTCTATCAGTGGCCCACTCTCTCTCTCGCTCGCTCTCTCTCTCACTCTTACTCTGTCTCTGTCTCTCTTCCCCTGCAACCCCAATCACAATCGACGATCCCCAGCGAGTAGTCATTGAGTTGGTTCCTCGTTTGACTTTAGGGTCGTTCTTGTTGATGTTCAAATTGTTTTTATCTATATATGAACATGTGTGCATACATAGACACACACACACACACACACATGCATACAAATATACATATGCATGTCGTTCCCTTGTTTTGCATTTTCTTCAATTCGTTTTTTGCGTCGTTTGGTTTGGTTTGGTTTGGTTTTATTGGATTGCCTGATTTACTAATACTTATTTCTCTTTCTATATATATATAGATATAATTTAACCACACAAAAAAATGTGCTGGCAAATTTTCTGCCATCATCGTGGCCTTCGTTCTCTCTCGCGCTCTCTATTTCTCTCTCTCGTTTATTCTCATACATTTATGTGAACATATGTAATAATTTTGTGTACAATCTTATCTTTAGTGGACTTCTTTTTTTTTTTTGTTAAGTTATCGCAGAACTTTTGTTAGACTCGAAAGCGGTTTTGTTGCATGCTTTTAGGCTGAGCCTTTTAATCACATCATACATACAAGGAAGGCATTTTTTCCTAGACTAAGTGGCAACGCTGCCAACGGTTTTGGGAATTTAAAATTAAATTCAATTAGCACATAATTGAAATGTAGTCAGAACAAAAATCAAATTACATTTTGCTTACTCTAAATGCAACTTGAATAATTTATTTGCATTAGTTATATATTATTGTATTATATTATAATTTTTTTTATTATATATTCTTGCCAATGGCTTTGCCAAGCATTTTTATTGATAATACTTATAGTATATCTGTAACTGAGTTTTCTTTTGATTGATTATTAAAGCAGGAAGCGCGCTCTCGATTCTATAATTATTTCTAAGCACATATAAGTCTATGAATTCATAAAAAAACAATTCCAATTACTGATTTACTATTTGCATACTAACCGACAGCACATGCTTTACATCTCCCTGTGGCTATTTAATAATCGAGTAAATACTATATATATGTACATATACTGTACAAATACAATTACATATGTATGTATGGAGATATATGTAAACTGTAAAGATAGCATTGGAATATTTTGTTATTGTTTTATTAAATTTGTTGGCTATGGAGTGCGAAGGCAAGTGCACGTGTCCCCCGACAGGTAGCGTCTTAGTCATCATATATGTATATGTATGTATTATATTTTACTTTGCTGTTTTTAAATTTCTTTATATTTTTGCTCTAGGCCAAACCAATTGCGCGAAAATTCCCATTGCAAGAAACTGAGTCATGGGAAGTCGAAACTTTCGGCACGTCTGTGTGTGTGTCTGTGCGAGTTTGAGTCTATGGACATTTCCTGCCTTCACTCTCACTCTCACTCTCTCTATCATCTATCCCGCTCTCGCTCTCCTTCTCATTTGGCCTCTTTGCGTGCGCTCTTTAAGTTTTATTCTCTGTGCATCAAACAAACGGCATCAGCAGCCATCTCTGATGTCATCGCCTAGCAATGCGCGAATGCGTGTGCAGCTCAGCTGCGATGGGCGGGGCGTGGTGTGGCGTGGCGTGGCGTGGCAAATGGTTAACGGTTCTTATCGCGCCGGCAACATTTACGTCTCTTCCATTCCTGGCCATTATTTATGGATTTTGTTTTCATTGCATTGATATGTGTAGACGGACGAAACGAAAGATGCCGCGCGTACAAATTAACGGTTTATTAAAGTGCCTTGAGCAAAATAGTAACAGTACTCGTAGTCTCCTTTTGCTTTGCTTTCCGTAGCTGGCAACCATAATACGAACTGTTAATTATCAGATATATTCACACGCGCACGCATTGGCTCTCTTCCTCTTGCCAAAGCAAACACACATGTCACAAATGTTTCTTGGAGAACAACAAAAAAAAATGTATATATAGTAAATATATATATATATATATATATATATATATTTATCTGTTATTATTATATATGCTTATTTAACAATATTATGGAATTAAGTAAAAAAAAAAGGCTAAGCAAATTGAATTTTGCTGAAGTTTTTGGAATGTTGCTGCAGCTATTGCTTTACATCAGGATCAACAGCATTAGCTGTTGTTGTGGTTGTCGTTGTTCCTGTAGTCGTGTGTTGTTGTTTCCCTGTTGTTGTTGTTGTTGCCGTAGAACGCGTTAGCGTAAATACACCTGTGCTGCCCACATCATCCATGGGCTGTGCTATGATAGTCGATGTGGTGCTCTACATATGTATGCATAAATACAGATGTTGAAAATTTCGTTGAAGTTGAAATTGTTTTTTTTTTTTTTTATTTTTTTTTTCTTATTTTGGTAAATAACTTACGCCATTTTTGGTCTCTTCGGGGCTCCATGAGCGCTTATCATCCAAATCCTTTGAGCAACAGCTGCCCATTTTGCTGTTCTGTTTGAGTGGGTGGGTAGCTGGGTGGGTGGTGTTGGACTGGTTGGCTGAGTTTTGGTTCGTTTGCTGCTGTTGTTGCTTTAACCTCGCACGGCGTTTAGCGAATGGCGCTGCGTTTGCCGGTGCGCGCTTGTTAGCCAGCCCAATCGGCTTGTCGAAGCAGCGTTTCACTCGCAGTCGCAGTCGCAGTCGCAGTCGCATTGCCAGTAGCAGTTGATGTCGCTGTCGCAGTTGGCGTCGCCGTCGACGTCGCCGCCATCATTCATATCAATTCTGGAAATTCATGTGTGTCTCAGCGCACTCGTATTCCTCATTGTTTGTGTGCACAAAAAGAGGAATTTATATACTAGACCAACCCATAGACACACTCATCATCATTCCACATGTATATGACAGAGCAGTCAAGCACCCAACCAGTCGATCATCCTCTCTCAATGTCAGTCGCAATCTCAGTCAGTCTCTGTCGCAGTCGCAGTCGCAGTCGCAGCTGCAACGCATTCATTTCCCTTTGGCGTCATAATGTTTTATTTAGCAAAGACGACGACCACGACGACTCACGGTCTCTGGTACTCAAATATCAAAACTGATCTGATCTTTAAGTGTTATCAGGTGGCATTTGTAAAATGTTAACAAATATTTAACCATAAAACGATTGCATTGCCTAATTAAATTCCAGCCAACAACAACAGCAGGCAACTGACTAATGCCGTCACTCGGCTCTTTAGCATTTGAGTCTTTGTCTAATAGAGCTGTATGGCAATACCTTCTAGACCTCTCTAAGCTCGTTGATTGGAAAAGCGTAAGGACTTTAAGTCAGCCCGCCCAAATTAGGGCCAGGCCAAAGCACGCCTGCCCAATGTTGGCCTAATGAGTGGTAAACATAATAAGCGAACACTAATGCTACATAATAAATATATTTATCGCATTAATGCGCAGTAAAAACAAAATCAAAATGAAATTGAGTGCGTAATGGGTAAATGGGCATAAAGGGCTCACAGAGACTTATTTGATTACTGTATACCCTGTAAGTTAGCCAATGAAATGTAGCGATAAGCAAGAATAGTCGAGAATATATATGAAAGGTGGAGATAAAAATATATTTGCAAGAGTTCAGAATGTATACTATATGCCATATATATATTAAAATATATATAGTATTTGTTCAATTAACTTTGTTATATATCTAAGTTATATATATGATGTCTTAGTGCAGGGTATTACACAGCTGGTCACTTCTTACTTTCTTCTTTCTCTTGGTCATAGATAAAGACCACAACGAGTTCACAGTCAGATACAATTGCGTGCATATGTGCATAGAGTATATGATATTTAGGATATATCAAAGTGACTTCCAAGTTGAATGGGAATTATCTAAGAGATCTGAGCTAAAAAAAAAAATCACCTGCCCCAAATATCAAGCATAAATATATGAAAGTATATGAGTAGCAGTGGATAGATGTCTATACATATATATATATATATATATATATATATATATATGAATATATATTATATATCTGTGTGTGCGTCATAATCATAATCAAAATGCTCATAATTAAATCATAGACACTTGAAGATAAGCGCACCCAAAAGTAATTAAAACACAAAGAGGCCCCAGGTCCCCAGGTCCCCATGTCCCAGGCCAGTCACCGTAGTCTAAATCGGAATTGGAATTTGCATGCAAATATTGAGTAATTGGGAGTGTAGCACGTAATGAGCAACGTTACACCCACACACACACACACACAACAGTAACAATAACAATAACAATAACAGTAAAAGTGAAATAACAACGGAAAACCATGAAGATACGATAAACTAGGCAAGTGAAGTAGTTCCCATTGGCTCGTTCCAGTTTTTCTGTTATCGATAATTGAAAGTATATACCCATCCCAAGTTGTCTTGCTGTTTGTTTGCTTTTTTCATGTTCTATTTAGAATTAGATCACTTATATAGCTTTCTTAATATAGACACATATCGTACATCTGCAATTTAGATTGTGCTTGACTGGTGCTTGAGAATGACTCAACACAACTAACTGACTGATTACCTCAATTACTGACTGAACTGACTAAATGAAGGATTGAGCGAGTGAGTGAGTTAAATATAGACTAATGCATTGGCTGACCAAATGATTGACTGACTGACTTAGTAGCTGCCTCACGAATTGACTGAGTGATTGATAGACTGACTTAGAGACTGACTGACTGATTGATTCATTGACTGAAACTGACCAATTGAATGATATTGACTGACTTATTAATTGATAGATTGATTGATTGGCTCAGTGATTGATTGACTGATTTAATTGACTGACTGCGAGAAAAGCTGACTACATTAACTGTCAGACTAATTAATTGATTGTCTGAATGACTGATTGACTAGCTGTCATATTAAATAATTAACCAATTGACATAATATTGGAGTGATTTATTGACAGATAAGATAGACCTATTAAGTGTCTTTCAGTTCGATTGACTGACAGAATAGCTTAGTAAATTCCTTCTCCTGACTTAGTCAGCTCCAAGCGGACTATTGACTGTGACTGAAGGCCAATTGAAGGCAAGCGAGAGTCAGTTGATTTAAAGCTCGCTCGCTTGCAATCTTATCATATAATTAATTAACTAATTATTAGTAAGCAGCGATAAAGAATAATCAATTTGCTTTATTATCACGTTTGCAGATACAAAATGGCCAGATCTATGAGAAGGAGACGCTGCTGCGTGCTCTGCTGGCTGCAATGTCGCCGCATGTTTTCATACCGCAATATTGGCGCTCGGAGCGTCATTGTGCTATCTTCTTCACGGATGACTTTGAGGTGGCAGAGCGCATACAGCAGCTGGGACGGCATGCACAGCTGCCGGATGGCTTTCGGCTGATGCCGCGTGTACGCAGCGGCGTGCCATTGGTTACGATCGACGAAGAATTCAAGGCCAAGATGAAGGTGGTGATGGCCAAGCGTTATAACGTGCAGACCAAGGCGCTCGATCTGTCTCGTTTCCACGCCGATCAGGATCTGAAGCCCATCTTTTGTCCACTCTTCCGAGTGAATGTCATGAGCACTGCGCTGGACATCATATGCGACAATATACCCGATCTGGAGGCAATCAATCTCAATGACAACAATATGTCCACCATGGAATCGTTCAAGGGCGCCGACAAGCGGCTGCCTAATCTTAAGATCCTCTATCTGGGCGATAACAAGGTGCATTTCATAATATTTCCAAAATTGTTAGTTTCGGTTTTTCAAATTCGATCTCTTCTGGTTGCAGCTGCCATCGTTGGCTCATCTGTTGGTCTTTCGCAATTTGCCGATTGTGGAGCTGGTCTTGCGCAATAATCCATGCCGTTTGCGCTATAAGGATCCACAGCACTTTGTCAGGTATATCATGGTGTGATTTGGTTTGAGTGATTCGGCTTTCAAAGCGGGATGCAGCCAGCGAATCATCAACGTCGAACCAGGCGAAAGGTCTTGTCTGTCTACAAAGCCTCGCCTGCCGTGTTCTTAATTATCCTTGTTTCTCTTCCCTCTCTATCTCTTACTTTACTGATCTACTGTGTTCGCACTGTCGCAAAGTCATTTGGAAATTCTCGCACGGCACTCGCGACTTTAATTTCCAGGCATTTTTCTGTAAGCAAATGCATTTGAAGGCATTAGAGAATTCATTTTGGTTGCCAATCTATTGAAAAGGGCGACGACAGTAGAGCCGAGCTTTTGGCAGTTTACAGCGAAAAAAAAATTAAAGGAAAACGCATAAAAAACCTAAAATCAATAATAAAAAATAACAAAAAAAAGAAAAATAAAAAAAGAGGAAAGCCCAGTGAAAAAAAAAAACAAAACATTGAGAGAAAAAAGTTGAACAAGGAAGAACGAAACTACACAACACTGACTGATGTACTGACGATACGGCAACTCTGTACAGAAGACTTAGCCATACACAGACAGACTGACTTTGAACAGTGATTTTGCAATTCCACTATGCAGGCAAGCATGCTGCTGAGTCGCGGGCTGTCTTGCGCTGTCGTCGCATATAACGGACAAGAGCAACAGATTAAAAAACCCCAAACAAGGCAACCCACATAAACGTATACACGCACGCACGCACGCTTTGCACACACTCGGACACGCGCTCGCTCTCGGCCGGCTCCATTGTGGGCTGTTTTGGTCGCCATTTGAAATTTATAAATTGAGCTGCGCTGTTGTGTTGCTGTTGTTGTTGTTGCACTTGCGTAGCGTCGGCGTCAATGTCGTTGGCTTCATTGTCAGGCACGGTGCGCACGCCCAGCAGACAGCAAACTAAACTGACGATCCCAGCAGAACATTTATATACATGCATACATACATACGCTCACGACAGAATTACAGCGATCAACGAAGAAGAAAACATGACCTACCACAAAAGCTGGCGAAGGCGACCGTGCATAAGGCCAATCGACTGCGTTTCAATACAAGCCTTTCGACTGTATAGTGATTGGTGGTGGGCGTGTGCTTTGCCTGCGGATGCAATAAGTAGATGACAGAAAGAAACATACAAACACACACATACACACAGCCAAAGACAGAGGTACGCACACACACACACACACACACACACAAAGTGAACAGTGGGCTGCGTACAGATCTTTGTGCACAGCTTTTGGGTATTTGAAAAAAAATTAAAGAAGAAAAAATTGATAAAAGAAAATGAAACTTAAAAAATATTGAAAAAGTACAAAAACTGCCTAAAAGTTTGGCTCTGCTTGAATAATTAATTGCAGCTAAACTACCACGCCTTTGGCGCATAAGTTTTAGTTACCAGCGCCAATTCAAGCCATTTGCAGTTGCTTCAGAAATAACACGCAGTTTTTTAATGTATTTCGAAACGTATTATTATGCAAGCGAATCAGGTGCCAAATTGCATTTCGAAATGGCAAGGCGTCAGTGGGACGATAAATATGCATACACATGTATGTGAATTGCCATTGAATTAATTGATGTATGTATATTTAACTAATTGATTCATTCGACATCATGTATACATATATGTGTGTATGTTCGTACGTATGCATGTATGTGTGTACATATGCATGCGTAACGCACAAATACTAATGCCACGCCGAAAACGGACGCATTTCCAACTGCCAAACTATTTACAGCGAAGTACGACGAAAGTTTCCCAAAATCTTAAAACTGGTAAGTGAAAACATAGACTCATCATTACATTCACGATTGATGATGATGACGATGGTGATAATAATGATTCAATTTAGGATGGGGAAGCATTGCCGCCACAGGTTCACTTCGATTTAAACGAATCGTCGGTGCTGCCAACGGCCAAAGCCTCTTTTCTGTGCGACAGAGCTGGAGCCGATGTGGTTCGCCAATTCTTGGATCAATACTTTAGCATCTTCGATTCGGATAATCGACAGCCATTGCTGGATGCATACCATGAGCATGCGCTGCTCTCCATGTCCATGCCCTCGGTCAGTCAGGTGGGCAGGTAAGTTCAGCATCGATCCATGACAGTCTTAAACTCTACTTATCTCGCCTTCGTATGGACAGACTTAACAGCTTCTGGAAATTTAATCGCAATCTGCGACGCATTGTGAGCACTGAACGGGAGGACTTGCGCATACGCCTCTTGAAGAGCGGACGACTGGCCTGCGTGTCCACATTGGACGAATGGCCACGGACACTGCACGAACGTCGCACTTTCACAGTTGATCTAACCATATACAATGTAAGCAGCAGCAACAGCAGCACAGCATCCACAACACTGAATCGAAAACTATTCTAACTAATCTCAATTGCCTGCAGCCCCAAATGATGGTGTTCACAGTGACGGGATTGTTCAAGGAGCTGACTGGCGATTCGGGCTCTTCGACGCCCAGCTCTATGCAGGCCTACGAGCTGCGCCACTTTTTGCGCACATTTGTGGTGGTGCCGCAGAATACGGGCTTTTGCATTCGAAACGAGACAATTTTCATAAGCAGTGCCACGCCCGAACAGACGCGTGAATTCAAGCGCACACAGCATCAGCCAGCACCGGGCGCTGCTATTGGCGTCGGTGTCGGTGTCGTCGGCGGCAGCTTAACGCCAATTGGCTCAACACCCATTGCTGACGGCTCAGTACAGAATCGATTGCAACAGGGTCAGCCGGCGGCGGGCGTCCCTGTTGCCCTGCTTACAACACCTACGCCATCAAATCCAACTGGCACACCCACTGGAAGCAGCACTGCTGCCGTCAATGATGCCACCAAAATGCAAATGGTGCAGGCAATGAGTGCCCAAAGCCAGATGAATCTGGACTGGAGTCGCAAGTGCGTAACCTAGCAACCATAATATATCTATATTGCATTTTTATTCTATATTTATTTATTGATTTGTCTTGCAGATGTTTGGAGGAGACGAATTGGGACTTCAATCATGCCGCCTTTGTGTTCGAGAAACTTTTCAAGGAAAACAAGATTCCACCCGAGGCTTTTGTCAAGTAATTGGCCCAAAACAATACCAACACCCATCAATGCACCAACCCACACACAAATACACACATACACACACACACATACACACATACACGCACACATACAACACACACAGTTTCAATGGCAATATTAACCATCAAATTATAAAGTAATGCCTTTCGTCTAAATACAATTGGCAACAGGTGTCACATTCGCACACCAGCTTTAGGCGTTCACACATTGTTTTTGTTTTGTTTTGATCTGATTTAAATAATTTATCTGTAGATCTTAAGCTAATATTTATAGACACTCTGGCAATGTTGGCTACGCTTCCAAACTAATCATCATATCATATAAAATCGATTGTGTCTAATCTGTTTACTTTGCCTCAAAATACACAAACTTAAAAAGTGTATTTAATAAATTCTTTGGAATTTGTCTAAGCAATTGCCAGCGTCTCTCAACACACATACACACCCGTACCCATAAACTTACACTTTTAAATAAATAAAAACAATAAAAAAACATAAACTTAGCTGCATATTAAAACAAAAATAAAAATAAAATAAATTTCTTGAATAGGCACTTGTAAAAATTATGGAAAATGTTTCTTTTATGAACTTTGAAAGAGCAAAAAAATCTAACAAATTGTACATTTCGAGAGCAAACTTCAGTTTTTAGTTCTTGGTTTTTTTTTTGCTAAAATACTTTTTAAATTAGAAATTGTAAGTTCATAAACACGATATCTATAAGTTGGTAGCATTAATATAATAAATAAATATATAAATATATATATATATATATATATATATATATATATATATATATATATATATATATATATATATATATATATATATATATATATACATATACCTGTCTTAAATCGGGCAGCAAACAAGAAAACGTATTAGTTTGTAAGCACATCAATTTAGCTTAAAACTTTCATAATTATAAATTGTCTAAGAAATAAAAATACATGTTTATGTAAACAACAAATGGGATTTATTTACTTAATCTAAAATGTTAATTCAGAAATTTTATATTCCAAATATATTAGTCAAATTCTAGATAAATGCGGAAGTAAATTGTAAATGTTGCTAGATTTCATTATATTTTTGAACTTATCTACTAAGGCATCGGGTCCACTCTAATTTTACCCCTTCACGTGCAGATTTTACTGAGCTTTTTGCAAGCAATCGTAAAATGTACTAAAACATCAGGTCCACTCTAAGTTTCCCCTGCAAGTGCAGCTTTTACTGAGCTTTTTTAATAAATTGTAACATTCATTTAATATCAGGTCCACTCTAATTTCCCCTTTAAATTACAACTTTTATACTTGCCCAATCAAAACTTTCGTTAAATAATAACAGAAAGCTTAGCCATGACAAGCACCAATTGAACGTACCATTTGTCATGCAAATAAGCTAATAATAGCTGCTAGATGGCGACACGCTTATAACGTTAAAGAAATAAAAAGTTTCTAAGATATTTGAGTACCGTAAGCCGTACGTGATCAAAATTGTATATAAGCGCCCTTTTGCACACACACACATACACACACACACACGCATAAGTACTCATGCATACTATGAATGGACATAACCGATTTGTCCAGACTGAACAAAAGGACAAAAGGAACAAAAAGCTTTTCTAGTTCTTAACTGCGGCACAGCTGCCAAATAGGACTGGCCGGCCGCATAGCAAGCTGGTCAACTGGTCGGCTGGTCAACTGGTCAGCCGATCAGCCAGTCGTCACATTGTCCTTGCAGCATCCCAAGCGCAGGCGTCCTGGTTCCCACTGCCAGCAGCCCAGCAGCCCAGCTGCCGCTGCTTGAAGATCTTTAACAATGGGCATCGAAAGGGGTTTTTGGGCCGGTTGGCGCTTTTGTTATTCATAAGTAGCCTACGAATGGGTCTCTCTTTGTTGGTGCAAATTTATAATCAGTTTTTGGGTACAAGTTCGTCCGGCTTTACAGCTGCCAACCAAATTTTGGGCGCTCAAACAATATAGAAAATAATAAGAAAAGAAGAAAAAACAAGTCAATCTTGTTGTAATAAACATTAGCAAAGCTTTTATGCAAGCGATTTCATTAGAATTTGATCACAACAGCAAATTGTATTCATTTCCCACGAAAGAACAAGCAAACATATGTAAATTCATAAATATATATTTATCCTTTTGTATGCACAGCAATTCTTACTACTTGCATACACATACACACAGGCACACGCACACATGCACTCACATTTACTTATTAAGTTTAAATGCCAACCAACCAAGAATCGCTCAGCTGCACTCACACACGCGCCCTACGCCCACATCGCAGCTAGCCTATCTATCTCGCTTACTCACACACCGACTATAGTGCCACACGCACACAAGCAATGCACGTGCTTTTGGTTTTGGTTTTGCTGTTGCGCTTGCAAATTGCATTTTAGCTTACAGCGCTTGTTGTTGTTGTGCTTTTTATGTTGCTGTCGTTGCGTTTGCCGATTGGATATTGGCGCTTCTTATTGCTGCTTCTGCTGCTACTGACAAAATGGCCGCTACCATTGCCTAGGACTGTTGCTGTGGCTGGCTCACGCTAGTAGGCGCTATCTGTGCAGTGAGAGCGGCAAGGCAAAGCTACAACTGCTTTTGCTCTTTCACTCTCTTACGTTTTGCCAACTCTCTTATACAATCAATGTCAGTGCTTGTTGCTAAGCTTAATCTTTCTTTCTTTATTTTCTTTTCTTGCCTTTTCTTATTTATTAAAGAACTTAAATTTGTTGCGCATCTGCTCATGCACGCACACATATACAGACATACAGCATACAATAAATACTAATGCTGAAATGAATGTATGCGTGTGCGTGTTAGGGGTATTCAAGCTATTCAAAGCATGAAATAAAACGCAATATATTTGAATAAATTATTAAAATACTAAATAGAAAAGGATAAATTAATTTAATCATATAAATATATATATATATTTTTATTATAAATATACATCTCAAATATTTGTGTAAATAATTGCATCGACATTTGCCATGGCAATTTCCATGTGCCAAGTTCGCGCCGAGTTGTGTCGTTATCCTTGCGCCGGCCACACAGGGTGGCAGGGACTGGAGCAGGGGCAGGGAAGTTGAGACAGGCGGATTGCCTGACTAAAGTCAATGATCGCATGGCTGTCGGGGCTGCAAATATGCGAAGAGCTAAAATGGGAACGGGAATTTTGGGTACGTGAAATCGCAATCAAGCGCTAAGGATCAGCGCGTTGTCCTGCCAAGGCGTCCCATAATCCAGCGACAGCAGGATCAGAGCACGCAGCGCAGCGCAGCAAACGAAGGTGGCGGCAGCGGACCGAGAGGATTCGCTCGTTCAGTCGGAACATTTTTGGCAATTACCGAAAAATAAAGAAGCGAATTAATGCCAGGCGAGCGAGACAGGGAGCGAGAGAAAGAGAGAAAAGCGAAAGGAACGACGTAAAAAAGGAAAAAAATAAAGGAGTAAAAGGAAAACGGAAAAGAGTTTGCACCTGTCCAGCTAACTGCAAAAGGAACTCCACGACAGCCGGGGCGCAAAAGTAAACGAAATTAAGGATAAGCAGTGCAAGGATCAACGGCAACTTCAACAAGGACAACGCGCGTGCCAACAACAACAAAGTCTGCTTAATTTTGCAAAAGGTGCGCACATACAGCGGCCTCCAGTGCAATGGCCCGATCCTTGGCCGTCCCTCGCTTGTGGGTGCATGGACAGCTCCTGCTGCTGCTGTGGCTGTGGCTGTGGCTGCTCCTGGCCGGGCTAACTCTGTCTAAGCTTCGCGTGCCGCTCGCTTTTTGTTCTCGTTCGCGCTGCTCAGTCGCGTCTCATTGTTATGCATTTTAAATATGAATTTTTTATTGCCGCCAGACATGCAACATGCAGCGCGCAGGACAAATGTCCTCTCGGCTGTCTGCTGTCGGCTGGCCTTTGCCTGCGATCCTGTGGCCCCTTTTTCGCGTTGGTCTTTCCCCTCTCTCCCCCTCTCTCCCCCTCTCTCTCTCTTCGTTTTTATTATTTTTTTTGTTTTGTCCAACTAAATGCTTGTTAATACCCGGCGTTAATCAGCAGGAGCGCCCAAGGCGCTGTGCACTTGGGTGGCCTGCAGATGTCCTGGCCGGGGCCCAGTCGATCGAACGCATCATGCAGCCAGCCGCCAGCAGCAGCAGCAATTGCCATTGGTTTGGGCAATTAAAAGGCCGCAATTCCGTTGCCTATTTACGCTCCTAATTAATTGCCATTAACACGCTGTGGGAATCCAGCAAGAGGAGGCGCATCGCAGGCTCAATATGTATTTATAGCAAGTTAACATCCTTTGCGCTTGGCTCGCAACTCCTTTATCGACCATGCACAGAAAACTTTGTAAATTTTCAATGTTATTTATAGCGAATTAGCCAAGGCCTAGAGGCTAAAGGCTAAAGGCTAGAGCGTAGGCCATTCGACTCCGAATCTGCTTTTAAGCGGACAACAAAACTTATTAATTAGCAGAGCTCGAGGGGATTGTCAACGCGAAATGGTTAGCTGGATGTACTGTTATACTGGCTAACTAGCTCGTTATTATACTGACATCTTAGTTAATTGCTACTGCCATACTAGAATACTGTTATATTGACGCACAATTATGTTTATATTGGCATACTATTATACTGTCATATTGGCATAATATTATACTGCCAAACTGTAATACTAATATGCTGTTAGACCAGTATACTGTCATACTGATAATGTTATACAAGTCAGTTGTTATATTTACATACTGGGATACTGTTATAATGGCATACTAGTAAGCTAATATGCTGGTATACTAGTCTACTGTCATACTGTTTCATTACGAAGCTACTATTATACTGTTATATTTGTTAACTGTTATACTAAGATACTGTTATACTAACAATCTAGTATATTATTGGCAAACTAGTAAACTGTTATACTAAGGTACTACTCGACTGTTGCCTCAGAGCCAAGTTACACTTTGATAATAATATTAATAAAGCTGATAGCTTCGTAGAGGGACAGATGGACATGGATAGATCGACTCAGCGAGTCTCTCTCGCTTTTGTATTGACTAGATTGTGTTGCAGTAGGCAATGATTGCAACTAAACATGCTTCACAGCTGTCTGGCTGTGCCCAGGCAAAGTAAGAATTTTTCAATTATTATTTTAATGGAATACATGAAGTTGTCACCTGTCCGCGGTGTACTCTATAATAATACAAATGCAGCTTACACAAGCTCTTTCAAATGCCTTGTGCAGTTGGGGCTGAGGCAATTGCGCGTTGCTGGAGATTCGAGCCGTGGCTCTACTTTGATAACTCTTTTACCTGCTTTGCCCCTAATTGAATGAAGTGTTAATTGGTATTCTGCTGCTGCTCTTTTTAAGTGTCTCAATTAAAATGCTGCTGCTGCTTCTTCTTTATATGCCACGCCCAGCTGGCTGGCGGGGCTGGGCTGAGCTGGCCGCATTGAGTTACTGTTGCCGTTGCTGTTGCCCTTGCAGCTGAT